CTTATAGCACAGAGAATTGACGGACAGTTTCATATAGCTAAGGGTGAGACTCAAAGGCTTGGGGCCAGACATTTGCTGTTTTGAACGCGAAATGACTATAACTTCGCTTGGTGCTTCCAAGCCTGTTGGCTTATTTCATGCATATTGTTTCTCTCCTTCCCTGACAATGTTTGTCATTATGTAAAGAGCATTTAGAATGAAGCAGAAGTCAATTCTTCCCTGCCCACGAGTTGGACAAATTTCAGTTTACAAATCTCCTTTCTCCACAAAGGGAGTTTGGATCTTTGCAAACCCGAGTAGGTGTAGGATTGAATTGTTGCCTGACTGGATTTTGAGCTCTCACTTTGTAATCTCTGATTGCATCTCTCTACAGCATCACAACAAACCCATTGTTTTCCTGCCAAGGCATGAAGAGTCCCATTCTAAACTTCTTCATCACAGGCTTTCTTGGGCTGATGGTGTCTTTGGTCGTTGGTGATCTCAATCTTTACATTCACCTAGCAGCTCCCTGAGGGAGCATTCTTGTAGCCCTGGATGGCCTGACAAAGAAGGTACTGGCCCAAGATAATGGAGGGACAAGAACTTGTGAAATTTCATGGTTTCACTGTGACCAAGTGTTTTCTGAATGATACACCAAAAACCACACACCTGACAGAATGTTTCTGGTTCCCAGGGTTCTTAAAGAACACTGAGTTCTTCAATGAAAGCCTCAACTGTCTTTGAGGGAATTCTCCGCCATCTTTCCTAGAAATAAATATGGTGGCTATCTCTTACATTTGTCCCATCAGAGGACATTCCTTCCTTTGTGGAAATTTTGGGGAAGGTCACGTGAAAAGCAATTATCCCCTCATTCTTATTCAGGAACGAGATAAGTAGAGATGAGCAGCTCAGCACATGGCCATGGCCACCTGGGAGCAGGGCTTAGCAAGGAAGAAGCATTGGAACTGGGGAAGATGTGGGCACCACGTAGGAGTTTGGACTTGGGGAAGAGCAGCTCCATCCCTTCCAGATGCAATAGCCAGATGAGCCTCTAGAATACCTTCCACTGGAGAGGGGGCATGTCTCCATGGTGAAATTGTCCTGATGGAACTGAGAAAGTATATGTGCACTGGATGGCCAGGAAGGAGAGGAGGGCCATGTATAGCTTGCTTTCTCTAGGCCCAGAACCCCTCCTTTGAGTCAGCAGCTTGCTCCTCACGATGATGAGGTGCTTCTCATACTACAAACCCCTGACCACAGGGGTGAGGTCTTGGCCAAGTTGGACCAGCCAGGATCTTCCTTTCCCCTCAGACCTTGAGTCCTGACCACAGATACATGGGGATGAAAGGTGGCTGCAGCTAAGGCCACCAACTGAGATACTGGTCCATGAACTGCTGCTGCTGAGACCTCTGGGATAGGAACAGCCCTGGGTCCTACTTTTCTCAAGGCTGGGTGCTTAGCTTTTCCATTTGATTCAGTGAGTGCCCCAGACCCTGCTGCAGAACACTGCTGATTTGCCCCTCTGTTTGGGTGGCATATGATATAATACAAAACGGGCACTTACCAAAGCACAAAAGAGGCGCCGTGCTGAATTCCCTCGGATATGTACATTTCATGCATCACTCACGACACTGTAAAGGACTGAAGACATTGGACGGGGCTGCACAGATGCTACCCCAGCCTCAGCTGCTGCAGGCCTCTGCCTGGGGTTGGTGTGAAAAAGCTCTCGGAACCCGGAAAGGAGTTCCATGGGCTGTGTGATGTGCTTCACTGCCGGCTTCTCCCCAAACTGAAGCTGACTGCCACAGCCACCAGTGGCTTCACAGCACACCCTGTGGCAGCCGCTGTCCCTCCCTGGATTGCCTCCTTCATCCATGCCATGTTGTCTAAATATTTCCCAAATAAAATGGCTTTGTTCAAATCTTTGTCCCCATGTCTGTTTTTTGTAGAAACCAGACTAAGACAGAGGCTGCTGAGATGCCTGGCAGACGCAGCTCAGAGCTGGATGTGTGCTAATGGGTCTATAAATGCTAATGCGCCTCCATTTTACAGATGAGGACCCAGGGACCACAGGAGGAAGTTTGCCCAAGTCCCACCTGGTCAATACCATGTCTAGCACAGGCTTTGCGTTACAGCTCTGATCCACTGCCTGGAGCAGGGCTTCGGGAAGTGAGCCCTGTTAACATCTGGGGCTGATGATTCTTCACCCTGGGCGCTGTCCTGTGCATCCTGGCCGCGTGCATTTCCTGCCAGCAGTATCGCACCTCTGTGGCAGTTACTTTTCTCTCCTTGCTGAGACAAAATACCTGACATTGAAAGTTGAAGGGGAAGGGGTTTATTTGACCTACAGTTCATAGAGGGTTCAGTCCATAATCAGCTGGTTCCGAGGCTGGGATGGCAAACAAGCATTGCAGAGGAGAAACATCATGGTGCGTATGCGGCAGCAAAGGTAACGAGGGTTTAACAGCATCTTTCTGCCCCTTTTATTTTGTTCAGTTTACTGGGATTAGGGTGGAGTCAAACCAATCACTCACATGTAGCGGTTTAGTAATCACACGCCCTTAACCCCAGGACCACACATTCCAGACTCAGCTACCTCTGAGAAAGAAAGTCCCACCTCATCTACACGGGGCTTTGGGGGGGACATCTAAACACAAACCATAGCAACCCCCTATTGTGACATCCAGATAGCCCCTCTGGCCAATTTGCTGAACGTCCTCTGTGGGGAGGGATGGACTCCCCAAGAGAACAGGGGGAGACAGCAGCGGGTGGTTCCAAAGGCACAGTGACCCTCAGAGGCCCGGGCTGCAGGGCACAGCACACCGAGTGACCCTGTAGAAATCTCTCTCCAGCGTCGGTCTTCTGACACCAGGCTGGCCCGCTTTCCAGGATGCCAGCCTCCCTGGGATCAGTTGTTCCACCTCAGCTGTACTTGTTAGTTCTTTCCTACTGAGCCCGCCCGCCTCGTGGGAGCTTACTTCATCAGCGAGCCCTCCAGGGCCTGCAGAAGGCCTAATCCCTCTTTATGCACTGCCAGTTGATCTATTAGAAAACAGCCCACGTGTCCCCAGCCGTCCCTCTCAGAGCTCTGGTGTCTTCCCGAGGCGGCCCAGCCATGTGGAGATGCACACTTAATAACAAATGCGTGCAAGTGCCAGGCCCTGAAGCACACGCCGGAAGGATTCTTGGACGGGATTGACACTTCTAGGCTCCTTCTCTACCCTTTGGATGAGCATTTCCAGGAGCCTGGAGTCTCTGTTCTAAAGCTTCCAGGGAATTCTCATGACTGGCTAGTATTTAGGAACCTCTGATCTCACTCATCCCAGCTCCAGGAAATAGAGTTGTGATTTACTTCTTAACACAGCTGCCTAAAAGATGGCTTTTGTAGAAAATATTAAAAATAAACTCTTAAAATAATAGGAGACCAGGTCAAAGTGGTACATATTTCTGTGCAGTCTCTTTTATTTCAGTAAAATAGCTTTTTAGTAAATTTATACATATACAAAAAGTTAAAAATGGGAAAGTTGATACAAAGAATGTTAGGCTGTTTGGTGGTGGTGGGATGAATGAGTTAATATTTTTCTTTTTCTTTTCTTCATTTTATAGCTTATGAGTGTGTGTGGATATTCATATGAATTGAAGTTTCTCAAAGTCCCAACTGTAAGGATGATCACGTTTTTACCATTTTTGTCTAAGGACAGTGGTGGAAATGGGCATCAGAAACGCAGGACGCAGTCACAGAAAGGGGCCTACTGGCAGGAGAGGGCATTAGATCCCCAGGTGGGGAAAGGCCAAGAGTCCCCTTCACTAGGGAGCAAGGAAGACTCAGGAGTTACGCACCGCAGCATGTCCACGTAAAGCTCCTGAGTTTAAGGAAGTGGACACAGAAAACAAAAAATAGTGATGGGAGAGAAGTGTGTACTAAGGTTAAGTTAAAAAAAAAAAAGACTTGGCTTTTCTATCTACTCAGGATAAACCACTATTCATTCAGCTCACTGGTTAACTAAAGTGAGAAGAATTCATTAATTCCCATTTGCCTGAGGCTTTATTTTACATGACCTATATTCTATTCTAAGGTTTTCTAAGCTTCAAAAATAAGCCTGAGTTTCCTCTTTCCCTTTCCACTGTCCCTTATTTTAAGCAAATAAATGACAATGGCTTACTTTTCTCTTGGAAGTGTCTTTCTGATATCCTACTCCTGTTCCCCTGCTAAATACTCCGATGGGATTTTTAAGCCTTTAATGGTGACTTCTCCTTCCTTGCAAATGTTTTCCTTCCTCCCAGTGGAGGCTCACATCATTTCTGGCAGCTGGGCTCAAGGGCCCACGTAGAATCCACAGCACAGGCGAGCCTCACCTTGGAGCTACAGGAGTCTGACCGAGGAGCAGAGCTTGCAGGTGTCTGGAAAACCCCACCTTCCCAGCCCCACTGCTTTTTAAAGTGAGGTAAAAGCCTACATTTGAAACTACCCTGGCAGCTGGATACCACAGGGGGAGTCTGCCCAGCTGGAGAAAGATTTTGGGATGTTCTGAAGGCAGTGGACTCATGTTGCAAAGACTGTGTGTGTGTGTGTGCGTGTGTGTGTGTGTGTGTGTGAGAGAGAGAGAGAGAGAGTCCTAGCAAAGTAACATATCTGTGAGTGCTGGTGGGTAATGCTACCCTAAATAACTTGAACTTTCACTGGCTGGCTTTTGTTCATAAAAAGCTAATCCTCTCAGGTGTAGACCTATATAAAACACTGGGGATTAAAGAGTTCACAGAAACCTTAAATCTCTTCTGCTCCATAAGGTAAAGATCCATTTAAACTAACAGTTCAAAATGCTTTTGAGGGCATTAACAAGGAGTCATTTAAAAGCTGTCCAGTTCTTTATAATAAATACTAATGTATGATAGAGATAACATGCTGTATCCAACTAACAACAGTCACCGAGTGCACGACGGCGGTTCTCCTCTAGGCCTGCTTTCCAGTGCATAGCTGTCTTTGGGAAGGGATGACTCTCTCGTGTTAACCACAGTAATGGGGAGGGAGTCACGAGGAAAAATAACCTCCTGGCGTTGGACTGAAAATAGTTCACCTTTCTGTGCATGAAAATGAAGTAATGTCTTGAATTCGATGCATAGCGTCTCACAGTGGGGATGGTTTGCTGCACACAGCGTCCGGCTGTAGGTCTCCCCATGGCTCTGGGGATGAGATCAGCAGGTGATGGTGGATGTGGGGGAGACTTTGCACAGATCACCGCACACAGTCCCCCCCACCACTTACCTGCATTTTCAGCGAAGGTCGCACATGGCTGGGCTAAGACTAACACAGGCTTTCACCACTGGGCTGAGATGTCTACACTGGAGCCTCTATGTACTGTCCAATAACCAGCCCGCTATTTTTGGTGGAATCACCGACTTCCAGGGGTCACGGAACAGCTGAAAGGGAGCAAGAACGTATCTACAAGAGAAAACAAATCCTGTGTGAAGGAGACTGACAGGTAGAGCAAGCACTCTTGGCTGGTCTGGTGATTTGGAGATTTGGGGTAAACATTTGATGATTTAATGCTAGAGCTCACAAAAATGCTGCACTACATCCTCCACAGTCTCGTTTCTATGAAATCCTGTTGCGTGCAGGTGTGGGGCGAAGTTGCAAGCTCCCTGGGGATAGCAGTGCATTGTGTGTCTGGGGCAAATCCGTCCAGTGGCTGACTGGGGTTGGAGTTTGGCAGAGCTGAGCCTGTGGTAGTGGTTTGCCTGGGGTGTCTCATTACTGTCTCAGCTGGATGAAACAATATGGTGGGGCCACTTTCTGTGTGGATATAAACCCAGGACCATCACCACAGATAAGGAAAACCATGCACATTTTGTTAAAAGATCCGAGAAATCCCCATGACAGCATGGAACTGTGACACATTAAGCACTGTGAGTCACTTCAGGGCAAACCAAGCCAGGAAAACTGAGGCTGACCCACAGCAGCTCGGGCTGCCCCACTGGTGGGCATGAGTGTGGGTCTGCAGCCGTTGTTCTGCTTTGCCTGCTGGCTCTGTTACTGGCCAGATGCGTCCACTCGTGCTCTGGTTTTTGGTCTCTGTCTGAGTGCCTCTTGTGTGAGACAGGGCGATGGTAATAGCCCCTTTCTGGTTGTCGTGATGCTTACAGGACACACTCAGGGCTCGAGTCCAGGGCTTGCACTGCTAACCGGTGTGGTGTCAGGCACTGGGGCTCTGGTGCTGACTCATGGTCCCCCAGCCAGGTCTGTGGTGTGAATCAGGTGGAGTTTTCCTGCGCTTCTATAATCACCTGTGCTCCTCTAGTTCTCTCTGCCGTTTTATGGTCGAGGCAGATACTGCTGTCCCTTTTTGCTGATGAGAAACGGGCTGAGGGCACTGGGGGTTGCCAAGTGTGAAGGGTGGGGAGCCAGATCCGGCTGCTGGCTCTCAGCCCAGGCATTCTGCTCTCCTCCAACCCAGGCTGGGATGAAAGGAGAGCAGGCTTCTGTTTGCTGCAAGCCCCAGCTGCTCATCTGCGATGTCATTAACCCATAATCTCCAACACCCGCAGCAGTCTGTAATGCCGGGCAGATTTCCTTACTGAAATGCAGCTCTGAAAGTTATGGGCCTCTGCACTCAGTGCTGTGCAGTCCTTGACGGTGGAGGGGAATAGCAAAGGATAACGGTGCCGGTACCAGGCTCACAGTAGAGCCTGCAGCAGCCCTTGTTCCAGGCGACGCCCGCTGCTTGCATTTCTTGAGGCTCTCAGGCTCGCTCGGTTCAATGCCCTCCCTGTTCCCGGCTCTGCGAAACCAGATGGCAGCTCCTTGGGCGGCTGCCTTGCTCAGCCAGGGAACTGAGCTGAAAAGTAGCCGTTCTTTGGAGCTCAGCAGATGCTAAGGCAATAACCTACACCTTTTGGAGCCCTCCCAAGACTGGGCCTTGACTTGAGCAAGCGTCTCGGGTCCTGTCCGGCTCTTTCCTCTCCGCAGGCGGGGTCATGGACCTGTGTCTCAGCTCTGCACAGCAGCCCCGGCGCCTGGGGCAGGCCCCGAGGTCCCCAGGCGGCTGGGTAGAGGCCGAGGAGGAGGCCACTGTCCCGGAGGACGGCACCGGGGGACCCCCAGGAGGTAAACCACCTTCTTCATCACCAGAACAGCTTTCCTCAGTTGCTTTCCTAGCGATGACATTTCAAGTAAACTTCAGCAGTCAGAATTTCCACTTCCTTTTCACTGTCCATTTTACAAGGAAGTGTAGCAGAGAAATGACTTTTTGCAAACATGAACAATAGCATTCAAAGCCACCTGGTTCTGCATGATTTACTTATCCTTTACCATTGTTTCGTCCTGAGTCAAAAGCAGAGAGTGCTGTATTTCTGTAATGACAACTGTTTCAAAAGGGACATTCAGATTTGTTTCTGCTTCTTGCCAAGATGAATTGTGGCAGTCATAAATTGGAGTGTATTTCCAACTAGGACAATGCAACACTTTAGGGTTACATTTCTGGGCGTGGATTCAATAGTGACTAAATAATAGGCAATACAAATGATGTAGTAAGAACCACTTAAAATACTTGCAACTATTAAAGTGATTAAAATATCTCCCAACCCTACTAAATGAGGACGTTATTTATTTTTACTGACTTGTTTACATAAAAATACAACTCTACCTTATTTCTAAAATCTGTTCTTTCTAAAATGATCAGGCTAGTGTAGACAAAATAAATGAAAATATTTAAAGTGCAACAAATAAGCATCTAATTCTCTACCTTTGTAGCACTTCAAAGGCTCTTATGAGAAATATTTACGTCAAAATTTCTTACTAATGTAATCGGGAGATTGTAACCATGAAGCTTAATATTTGTCAGTTCATTATCTGTGGAGTGATGAGCTATTCAGGATGAAGTCACTGACTTTTCCTACAGTACAGAGAGGCAGGTGAGTCCCAGGGGGTCAGGGAGGACAGGACAGGGGCAGCCCGAAGGCCTGGCTGAAGTCCCTGGGGATCTGGCTGCTCCCAGGCACCTGCCCGTGGCGTGTCCTGGAGAGGGCTTGAACTAGCTCTTGAATTTCAGGAATTTTGGAGCTGTGTGAAATATGGCCACATATTACAATGAAGTTAACACGTAAGTCGATTAAAGAGAAAGGTCTATTAAAAATCCAAAGCAATAACTACTCTAAAATCTGTTCTAGAACTATCAGGCCAAAATACAGGAAAATATTTACTCTCACTAACTACTAAGTTTCACACTCACTTATTCCCCAGGGTTATTTATGTGTCTTGTGTCTATGTGGGAGGAATAAGACAAGGTGCTGTCCTCCCAGGTCACACTGCATCAGTGTCTTGAAATTGGCCACAGGGGGAGAATTTACACCAGGGCACTGACAAGCCCTAAAAACCACTGCTTCCTCCTTTCTCTCAGAAGGTCTGCTAAGTGAAATAAATCAGACATATAAACTTATTGCACATGGTTTCTCTTGTATGAGAACCTCAAAATATAAACAGCAAAAGAAAAGGCAGATCGTAGGAACTGTCAAGACAGACCTTTTGTATACAGGAAGGAAATCAAAAGAAGCGGGGAAATGGGATTTTTAAAAAGGAGAGACAGGAACTGTGATGTGTTGTGCACATGTACCAAGTTCCCGTGAAGAACGAAGTCATCATGCACCACAAATATGCACACACAAAAAGGAAGGGGTCTAAGAGGTGGGAGGAGAGGGTGGGAAAGGAGAGGAGAAAAAAGAATTAAGATGTGTTATGTACATGTATCAACTCCCTGCAATGAATGTAATCATTATGTGCTACAAAAGTGTACTAAGAGACATCCACCCGCATGCACTGTCTGTTCCTCTGTTAGCACTCAGAGCCAGCCCTCAGCCCAGCGGTGATGCTGGAGCCTCTTTGTCATTCACACGTGTTGGGTTCCTTCTGTTGGGTGTCAGTGGCTCTCCGTGAGAGCTAAGCGGTGCTGGGTCTCCTTCATCACCCTGTAGCCTCCCTCCAACCCTCTTGCACATGACAGTAAGGAAAATGTCCCAGGACCCAAATGGCTACTAGCAGGGTCTTGCAAGTTCAGTGAAGCTCACCTTTGTGGTCAGGGCAGAGCTTTCTGAGCGGGAGAACACAGTAAACCAGAGCCAGGGCCAAGGCCAACACTCGGAAGCATTAGGGGCATCCATTCCGCCAATGTACAAATCACCCCCTGCATACAGATGCTTCTGTCAAATACAATGCAAGTGAATTTCTAGAAAAAACAAAATGAAAATAGATACATATAGCACACAAGCTCCAGTTCCAAAAATTGTTATAAGGACACGTTCTCATTACATAGTGATCACATTCACCATGGGGAATTGGTACATGCATGTAACACATCTTCATTCTTTTTACTTCCCCTTCTCCTTATATGCAACAGACATTGTCATATTGTAAATGTTTCTAAATGCGTGCTCCAGATTTCTGTGCTTGTCTTCCTGTGAACTTGTTACAGTTGGTTTACAGGCAGCTGTGGAGAGCCGCTGTGGTGGACACCGAAATCAGTGCTGTTTGAAATGGCTGTAGAACCTGCTTCGTAGGGACCAGCTGCTGCTGGACTTTCTGCCAAGGTCCACTTCCCTTTCCCTGGTACCCTCGTCCTCTTCCTCCTTGCTGAGTGGCAAGCTGGTTATTTCTGATTGGAGCACTTCACAAATTAGCTGACTGCTCCTTCCAGCTATTTTCCAAAGCCAGAATTCTGCTCCTGGTTAGAAATCCTCTGGTCATATCCCAGGCAACAAAAGCAAGTTTCACTCAGTTAGAACTGGCTTTCACCCTCCCTGGCTCCTGCCAATTTCTTCCCCCTGCTGGCACCCTGAGTATGCCCGTGCTCAGCATCCTCCTTCCTGACATTTTACCACTGCTCTTTTTATCCTTAGACATTCTGGGAAGCGTGTAATGAACTGCAATTCCAGGGTGTCAGCCCCATCAGCTGCTCTTTTCCTTGTTTTATTTGATATTTGAGCACTGCTATCATGGGTCATGGGGTTAAAGGAGTATTTAAAGCCACAGTAACTTAATAGCCAGGGCTCAGCTAACAGGCTCCCAGGACTTGTGCCTTTTGAGGGGCAATTATGGAAAGGAATTAAAGAACATACACCAGATGGCATGTGGGGGTGTTACTTCAAGACCTAAAAACAGCCGGGTTCATGTTTGCCTAGCTCCTCCTTATCCGATGGCATGCCACTGGTACCATTTTGCGGGTCTTTAGCTTTCTCCTAGCATCAAAGCATAAGGTGGGGATGAGTCCTTGCCTCTTGTGTCCTCGCCTGAAGAAAGGAAAGACTAAAGGCAACCTTGGTCATTTTGCCTATTATAAAAACCACTGCATCTCAGTCTCGTGTCTCCAGCACCCCATGGAGCTCAGGTCTGTGCCCATTCAGTCATCGATGGTGATGGCAGCATCCTCCTGTTCAGGCAAGGATGGCTCAGCCTCCTCTCACTTCCCAGGCTGTGCCAAGTGTGTATTTGCCCTGGATCAGCAGCTCCTGAGACCCCATCTCCTTTTCTCGCCCCTCAGATTCGACCAAGACGGAGTCATCTCTGCACAGCCTCCTGAAATTTGTTCCTACAGATTACACCAGCTACACTCAGGAGCACTACTGGTTTGCAGGCAAGAGGATCGTCATCCAGGAGTCCATAGAGAGCTTTGGAGCGGTGGTGTGGCCGGGGGTGAGAAACCTTCCCCTGCCGCTTGGCTTTCTGGAGATGTGTGGTCTGGGGGCGCTGGCTGGGAGCTTTCGCCTCTGTCCTTCCCACGTAGAGGACAAATTATCTGGGTGCAGCACGCCACTCAAGCATTAGTTTTAAGCTATGTTTCTTGAAGTACTTTTATGATAAATAAACCTGATCATTTTGAAGGGTAGGATGCAAAACACATACAACTGTCAGGGAAAATAGCCAGCAATTTGAAGTGGAGGCTTTCCAGTAGGCGCTTTGGCCAGAGCCACCACCATTCTTCCCATGGAAGTTTAGGAAGGAACCTCACTGGAGCTCCTGTCATCCCTGCATCAGCCCCGCGGATGTGGCGGTGCCACAGGGAAACCTGCTGCTGTCAGGCCCTGTAGTCACAGGTGCTCACGGGCTTGCCATCTGCCTTTGTCTCCGAACTTAAAACCCGGGGTGGTGGCAATGTCTCCTTCTCCATGTCGCTGTGACAGTTAAGTGCCCGCCTTGGCTGTAACTGCTACTGGGAGGATGTGGGCTGGGCCAGGCTCCACGCTTCGGGCGCTTCCCTGGGGTCCCGGGCCCCATCCCCCGCAGCTCTGAGTCACACTCAGGTCTCCTGAAAGTGCAGATTCTGACCTGGGCAGGTGGGAGTGAGGGGTGACTCCGCATGCCCCAAACTCCCCAGGAGTGGCCAGCTGTTGGCCTGGGCCCCCTGAGCTGAGCAGTCACCATGCAGGTCCCGCGGAGCTCTCCAGGCAGTGCTGGGGAGTGCTGGCTCCATCTCACGTCTTTGGCACTTGTGGGGTTTCCTTCCGAGGCTTTCTTCCACCCTGACTACAAATCTGAAAATGAAGCATGTCCCAGCTTCCTGTGGCAATCCACTGGCAAACAGACCACTGCAGCAGTGGTCAGAGAACAGGAATGGAGAGGGTTTGTACACCGAACGCTCTGTGTTCACCGAGGCCTCAGCCTTCCTCGCCCTGCAAACTGGTCTCTCCTGGGGCCTCGGCTTGCCAAGCGCATGGGCACTTCTCCGAGAACCCCAGCTACAGCTGTTGAAGAAGGCACTTTAGTTTGCTAACAGAGCTGAGGGGTGGGCTGCTTGCAAAGTTGTAGCTGCTCCCAAGGAAAACTGCCCAGCCAATGGGACTGGGGCCAACCCCTCCTGGAGGGTAGGGCACTCTCAAAAGAAAATCTCCAGCCATTTCTTCAGGACCCCAAGAGAGGAGGCCAGATTTTTAGCCATTTCCTTAATTTGTAACAGCTGAGCTGATCTGGTATTTTCGGAGATTGGACAAATTTGATATAAGCAATTTAACAAATGTGTTTTCTAGTTCCCAAGATGCAATTTACCCTAACTGTCCTATTCCAGAGGTCTAAATATGGTAATGATGCATTCTTACAAATCCTTAAATAAAGTGAACATTTGATGACATTTTTTTAGTATTTAAATCTGGCCTCAGCGGGGGATGCTAGTGGTTTCCAATTTCAAGGAGAAAATTAATTTTTTTTAGGCTACAGTTTTGTGCCAGTATTTGGAGGAACATAGAGAAGAACTGAATCTCCAAGACGCTAAAGTACTTGAAATGGGTGCTGGAGCAGGCCTTGTTTCCATTGTGGCCAGTATTTTAGGTTGGTTTGCTTTTCTTCTTCCTGATCTTGTTTCAGAAGCCCTTTTCTGTAACATCAACATGATAGCTTACTATAGGACAGGTTGTGGTGTAGGTGGTTGGCCATAATTTCACTCACTGAATCTCCCCAACATGTTGGGGAGGGGGGCGGCAGAATCACTAGTTATCAACAGGGGTAACTTGAGCCTTGGAGCGGTCTCCACGTCACAAAGCTGAGAGTCCAAGGTACAGCTCTGAATCCCTGCTAATCTTCACAGTTGGTCATAGGGTTAAGCTGCGGAGCTGACATCCAAGAGGGGTAAGTCGGAGGAGGGTGATAACCATCCTGCAGCGCAAAGGACAGGTGCACCGACAATTACCCAGCCTGCACTGCGTCACTTCATTCAGCCCATTTCCTATCAGTGCCACGGTGAGAAACCCAGTTGTTGGGTTTCTCCCTGAGTACATGGATGCTGTGCCTGCCCAAGTGTTTCCAGGTCATTATTACCATTTTTCTCTCTTAGGAGCTCAAGTCACAGCAACGGATCTGCCCGATGTACTAGGAAACCTTCAATACAATCTCCTAAAAAACACACTGAAATGCACAGCCCATCTGCCTGAGGTGAAAGAGCTGGCGTGGGGGGAAGATCTGGAGGAAAATTTCCCTAGGTCAACATTTTATTACAGCTACGTCCTGGCCTCCGATGTGGTCTACCACCACTACTTCTTGGACAAGCTGCTCGCCACCATGGAGTATCTTTCCAAGCCTGGCACAGTGGTGCTGTGGGCAAACAAATTCAGGTTTAGCACCGATTACGAATTTTTAGATAAATTCAAGCAGGTTTTTGATACAACTCTCTTGGCCGAATATCCAGAGTCATCAGTCAAGCTTTTCAAGGGGACACTAAAATGGGACTAAATAAAGCAACATGTCTTCAAAATATTAGTGCACCTGTAGGGCTGTAAGCAACTGCCTTGGCCACAGGCTTCTTTTGGAAAATGGAGAAGATAGCGCATGGGAACAACTTGTATCCCTACAACAAATAACAACACTGTGGTAACTTTCAAAAATAAGTTGGTCTGGTTAATTAAATGTCGACTGAATAACAATCAGAAAAGTAGCTTTTCTGACTTCCAAAATAAATTTTACAAGTGAAGAAGTTGTCACTTCTGCTGTAGAGCCTGGGTTTCATTCTTCGTGTATTTTGCTATGTACCAAGTGAGGAGACATATTAAACCCAACACTGCAACTTTCCCCGTGGGAAAACATGGTGCTCAAGTGACTGAGCTTGGCAGTGCCTGGGCCAGGACTTTCCAGAAGCAAGGAGGAGTCTGGAGACTTGTGGTAAGAAGAGGGCCAGTTGGGCCCTCCCAGGGCAAAGAGCCATTAATTCTAGGGAAGAGGTGATGCTATTAGGAAGGAGTGAGAAATCCACAACAGTGAAACTCCCATAGCAACAACTGGATCTGCTTATCACTGGAAAGGAGTCACTGAATTAGTACTGAGCACACTCTGTAGTGCTAATATTTCTCGAAAAAGTTACCTATCCTTACCTTTTTAGCGGGTGTGGGGCAAGACTGGCCACTCAAAGCACTGCTCTGCAAGACTGCCCCATCACAGGATCCATATACAATCGCGCATGGCTGTTCCAGTAACTTCACACACACAAACAGGCCCAGGGGCCAGTTTCTGATCCCTGACCTAGGCAGTAGGTGCTTACTAGGAATGCAAAACTTGGTTGTAAAAGAGGTTCTGACATTCACAATCCATCAATCCACAGCAGGATCTCAGAAAGTCACTACTCTTTTGGCTTCTCAGTTACCTTTGTGGGCGAGCCCATGTATGTCTGGGGACCTGCATGTGTGCAGGCAAAGTGCCTGTAAGAACACGACAAGAGAACATGTGTGTCTGTTCATGGACTTTACACACTAGCTGCTCCAGAAAGTGTGTGCAAAAAGTTTTTATGCATATTCGTATTTTCTCATAGAGGCTTTAATGTTTTCTGCAGATAAAATAAATAGTCATGAATGACTAGAAAAAGTTAACTGGTAGACTGTTTTGTATACCAGGCAGCCCTAAGGGAACAAGATGAAAAGACTACACAGACACAATTTGCTACCAGGTAAGTGACCAACAGACTTTTTAATATTATCTATTTCTGTCTGTTTATTTCACGGAGGCAGAATAAGAGAAGCAGGAACAGTAGCCAGAAAGATAAAAAGTTAAGCATACACAAAAGCTAATCACACAGCAAGAACTAGAAATATGTTTAAATAATTGCAAGCCTATAAAAAACATTATAAAATAAATTATCCGCTTAATATTTTTCTAAGGACTTATTATTTCCATTGTAACCCCAAATTTGATTCATGAAAAATTAAGACCAACTTTAAGAGGCTTCAATATTGACTTTTATTATTTACATAAAAAAATTAAGGTATCAGAGTGCATATGGTATACTGTGATCTTGGCTTGCACATTTGTTCATGTGTTTTACATTATTTCAACTGTAATAAACACACCATGTGTGTATCTTTACAATTCCTGATGAAGATGCAGCTGTCTGGCACTTATACATGTATTACTGACTCATTCTGACGCTGTGCACTTCAGAAAGATGTAAAAACGACTTGCCTATTGTAGCCCCAAGATGAATAGTTATCGAAACATTTATGTTCCAGCAACCGGCACACATTTGTGCCGGTTTGATTTTTCTCCTTAACTGAATGTAAACGTTTGCAAAAACAAAAAATGTGGACATGAGGTTAATTTTTAGTCCAATAAATAATTTTAGCTACTTTTAATGTAGCTTTAAGGCCTTTATACAATTCAGAAAAATCAAGGTCAAGCATGTCAAAACCCTGTTCATTTATAAAATAAAAAATAGAATTTTACAGGTGTGCAGTTAAAAGTTACTGTTCAAAACCTATCATGCATGCAGGAAGCTGCAACCCAACTCAGAATGCCTGCCAGGTGCTGGCAGGAGGGCACGTCCCTTCCTCGCCAGCTTGGGGAGGCTTTAAGAAAACACCATCATGTCAGAGGTTTAGATTCACATGTATTAAGCCACACACCAGTGAATTCTCTGATAAATACACATCGTTTTAATGATCAGCATTTGACAGTGGATGAAAACATGCATTAGACTAAAAATGCCACAAATTTGTTCTTATATCCATTTGCTAGAAAACTTTCTCTTTTAAAATGTAACATCTTGGTTTTTATTTTAGAATACACAATAGTCAGGAGGATACATGATGGGGAGCCAGTTTTCAGTAAAAGACGCGCAATGGGTCCATCCAAGTAATTTCATCAGCTACAAGAAAACACAATCAATGGATTAGTAAGGGAGATGACAGATTCCCAAACTTAATACTTGGGGTGAACGCCCTATCAAATACTTAGCGATAACAAAGTAGCAGCACACAGAACCTCCTCTGGTTCCAGCCCCAGCCTTCAACTTTCCTTCCTACCAGCAACCTACCTTATGACGCAGAAGTGGTCAACCAACTTTTCTAGCACCCAGATAACCCTTTCTGACTACCATCTCTACTGACTTTCCTTTTTCTCTTTCCTACTAACCTTACCTCACCCTTTCTTCCTTTTAACGTAACTCACTTCTTCCCTCCCTTCCTACCAACTTAAATTCTTTTCTTTTTTCTGAGTGATTACAAGTAAGTCAAACATTATTTTACTTAGGAACTGGGAAAACAGCACCAAAGAAACTCACATCTCACTTTCAGGAAAATTATATTCTGCTCAAGACGAACAAGAAATAAATTGCTGAGTGGATGAACAAATACACAATGAAGGTATTTATCAGACAAAGGATAAAAATAAAGCAATATAATCCGGGGTGTAACCGGGAAGTCAGGCAGCCAAGAAGGGATCTCGGAGGGAGGCAGCAGTGATGTAGACATCGCCTCTGTGACAATCTGGGGAAGAGCTTTCCCCCCAGAAGCAAGAGCAAGTGACCGCAAGTGAGGGCTGTCTGTCTCCGCCCAGGGGAGTGCTGGCTGGCAGAGGCAGGGCAAAGACCAAGCGCGGTGTGAGACAGTGAGGGAGAGGGCCAGGGCCCTCCTGAGCAACAGGGAGGAGGTTTGGATTCACCCGAAACCTGACAGCCATTCCCACTTTTCTGGCTGCTGTAGGGGCAGAGCGGAGGGAGACAAGTTACAAACCCACCCCAGCCCTGCGTGCATGTCCTGTAGGGTCACAGGCTCCACATTCACGCTCAGGCCACAGCCACCACGCTGAGAACCACACTAGGCGTCCCTACAATTGGCGCCAGAAAGAGTTCTCAGCCCAGCTTTGTCAGACCTCTGAGACCTAATGCAGTGGAGTGGAACCTCGGTTCACAAACTGAAATTCTCCTCAATTCTGGTCGTAAACTGAATTGGATAAGAACTCAATCAAATTCACTGATTAGGTTCAAGACTGACCTTGTAGGGAAATTTGATTTGGTGCCCATCCAATATGGTTTGTGACCAGAAGTGGGAAAGAATTGAAGTTCGTGAACTGAGAAATGATAGTGTAAACAAACCGCCTTAGAATTTGGGCAGAGCGGCGAAGGTAAACAGAGAAAGTTGTATGAGAAAAGACACCGACAGCTCCCATTCTACCACGTATTTTCAGAGAGGCCAACTGGTCAGTTTTACATCCATGTTGCCTTAGTCTAGACAGCCAGCCCAAATCACGTGGGCACAAACCAATTACGACTACACAGCAGAGTGGGACTGAAGTAATTTCTGTAGAAGCCAGTTTTTATACTTGAAATTAGCTCATGTACAAAGTGTAACTACAGAATTTCTCTGCATATAATGTGACATACGGTAAAACAATTAACAAAAATGGCCTATCATCACAAATGAATAAAATTAAATATAAACAGTTTAACCAGTTTTGAACTGAGGTAACATGTACTTAAAAGGAGTGTTTCCTTCATAAAGGAAAACTCTGGCTTCTAATTATACAAAATAAGTAACGCATTTTGTCTTTGCTAAAAAACACTAGAGGCTAATCTAGATTTTTGAGAACAGGAGTGAAAAATGTCTTTTTAAAAATTTAAATGGCTAACTGCTGGTGTCTCAGGTGTTTATAGTTCAAATTACAGCAATGAAAGTACGAATTTGGCATGATGGCCTTGTCATATCACAACGGTAGTCCCTTCCTTGTCCTTATGCGATACTAAGGAGACATTTAATGGTAACAATTTAAACATCACTTACTTGAATACAATTTTTCCAGTTTTCTTTTGTTGGTTTTTCTTCCACAAGCTTAGTTGCAAATTTAAGGCCTCTCCCATACATTTTATTTACTAATGCATGCTTGTATGCAAAAGTTAAAACCTATGGTACAAAACAAGATAAAAGTCATTTTGCATTTTAAGGCATAGAGGTTTGGTAACAAAACATTTAAGGCTTTAACAGAAGTCTAGCTTTTAAAGCAAGTATGCTGCCATCACAGTTTAAAAAAACTTTTTAAAACAATAATTAATGTCTTCAAAAGGGTAGGTAATTAGAAGAGATAATTTATTTGGGGGAAGAAAATTATTGTTACACTAGTGGTTGAAATCCACCTTAAAGGACTTCCTCATGCAAAAGAAACTGAATGTAAAAAATGACAAAAACAGCAAAATAGGACAGAAATATAAAAATGTAAAGTGTCATAAACTGTATGAGGATAAAAGTTCAGAGAGTATCAGATCATAGAACATGTCCCTTTGATACACGTTTGGTCCAAGTCTGCACCTTTAGAAACCCTGCCACTCTGATTTGAATTCTGGAAGCGAAGTATTCAACAACAGTTGCCAGTGCTGTAATGCACAGCCTGACTCTAGCTGCACTATTGCCAAGTAAGAATCATCAGTAACAGTCTTAGAGTGCTCAACAGTCTCTGGTCCATTCCTCAAAGACAGGGACCGGGTTCTTTATGCTCCAGGAGCACACAGTGGCTGGCACACAGGGACCTCCAAGAGCTTGGCAAGAACACTGCTGGGCACCGTCCAGCTGCTTAGCAAGCATGCACGGCACCACAGGGAATACACCTTCCCTATCCTCACGGACAGATAAAAACCCAGGTGTCTACACTTAGCAACCTGCCCATGGTCACAGAGGGGAAATGAGCGGGTCCAACTCTGGGGACCACGGCTCCTTCGGCTTCCTGAATATGCCCAAGTGCTTTCTATCAATGCTACCAAGCTGTGGTGGGCAAATCTGTCACACACAGAAGATTTTCCTACTTCTGGGGTTCTTTACTGCGAATTACCATAGCTAACCCTGAGAACAAGTGCTCCATAGCTCAAAGAAGATGATGTTCTGCCCTGGGGCTGTTAATTTCATTTACTTTCCCTGTACCTCCACATGCAAGAAAGACTGATAAAAACTTGTAGTTATATCACCTTTATTTTAAGTACTGTACTAGAGGACTAAAAGGGATATAAAATATTTTTACAGGCAAAATCCAAAAAGTTCAAAGTTATTTTTCCAAAGTGAGGTTTAAAATCAATTAGCTACAAATTGAGATAATTATTTAGAAGTTAAAGTTTTTGAAGAAAATAAGCAGTACTGAAACTAACCAGTATTATTACTCACTCCCGAATTAGCACATAAATCGGTGTGGGGAGGACTTACAACTTCAGCTTCCTACGTAATAACTGACGTAACTGAAAGGCTACTCCAGACATTCCCGAAATGTCTGCAGAATCACCGTGCTTGGCAGACACAGAACAATGGCAAGGCAGGACCACCGGCGGGAGCCAGGGCTAATGGACCTTCTTCGGAATGGCCTTAGCCGCCTTCCTTCCACTGACTCCTGGTCTCTTCTGGCAGCCAGTGAGGCACCTGAGTCTGTGCGGTACCCCAAGAGCTGTGCTAAAACAAGAAGCAGAAGGGCTACCTTGGTGTCAAAAAGATCAGTCCATTTTGTAGTTTCCCAAAAGGTTTCCGACAGAGAATCCAAAGTGCCCTCTCCTTCCTCTTCCTTCCCTTCCGCGTCCCCCGCCAGCGCTCCGTCGTGAGCCTGCGTGTGGAGCAGGTGGTCCGCCAGGGCACAGCCTTTGCGGCACAGCGCGTCCACTAGGGTGGACTTCTGTTTGTCCATGTCGCTGCACAGCAAATCCAAAGCAATCCACAGTCAGTAACACTCCTAGAAGGGTCCTCTTATCTGAAACTAAATGCATGGGTTTTGGCCTAAGATTCACATGCAGAAATACTGTATGTCCATGGACACAATTTATGCTGTACATCAAATAAAATTCCTTGTTAGTCAACATCAAATTAGTCACTGTATCCCGTACTCACTTTCTCCAAAAGTAAGACCTAGCTGGAGAAGACTGAGCCCTGAAAACTAGAGCTCGGAAACGCCGCCCCAGCAGCCATCGCTGCTTGCCTGCCTTACTGCTCTCCTGCGGCGGGGCGGGGGGGAATCGGCTGCTCTGTAAGGCAGGCGAGGCAAGGACAGGCTGAGCAGGGCCGGCATTTGCGATGGGCACACGCACGAAGCTGTCGCTCCGCTTTAGTCTGAGAACGAAACGCGCCGTGCCGATCGCTTGCAGCAGGCAGGATGCAGGGAGAATGAAAGGGCGGGAGCAGCCTGCAAGAACAGGCTTGCTCGCCCCCTTCCTGGCGCTGCACGTTAGCCAACGCACTCCACCTTTCGGAGCCCCTCTCCTTTGCACTAAGTGGCGGCTGAACATAGTCCCTACTCCACTAAATACGAAGAAGGCATCGTGTAAAAGCCCCCAGTGGTCCTCAGGGTAAGTCCCCAGCACTTACAAATGGCAGCTACACTTTCTAATATTACTATTGCTAATGATTAACAACAACAGAACCTGGCCATGTTTTCAAATTGTGCATTCCTTTGGAAAATATGAACCGATACCAATAATGGCCAAACAACCAATCTGAAATAAATTTTATTCTACTTGAAACTTACTACTTGTAATAGCAAGCGTTCTCGCAGTTTTTAGTCTAAGTATTTTATGAGGAAAAAATACTGCCCAAAGCAGATGGAATTATGGGACACTTTCAGGTAGCTCAAAGAGTTCTGGTTTATTATTTGTAATAACTCCAAAGAAACTATTTCCAAGCCTGTAAGTCAGTGATCCCATGCCCAAAAATAAGCCGCGTAACAGCGGCAACACCGACCCCGGGAAGGCCGTCACGGGTGATAGCGGAGCGGGCAGGGGCCCAGAGGCTCCACCCAAGCCTCGGACGGAGCAATCACGTCGCTCCGGGACCCAGTTAAGCTCCTCAATGTGCGCACAACATTTGTTTTTATAAAGGTGACATCATAAACTCCCCTCTTCCCTCCTCCCCAAGAAATACTACAGAGTTTCACAAAGCTAACGTTGTCAGAAAATAGCTTGGAACTTTATTGTTTTACTAAGCATCACAATTCGGTGTGGGTGTGGAGGGCCACACTGGGACTGAACCCCGAGTCTTCACAACTAGCTGCAGCCTGGACCCTTTCACTTTCAACTTTGAGACAAGGTCTCACGCAGTTGTCCAGGCTGGGCTCACGCTTGTGACTCCCGTCTCAACCTCCCAGGATGCTGAACTGTAGGTGCGTGCCGCCATGCCCTGCTCTCCCAAGCTAAATCTTTCAGTTTTCATGCTACTAGTCACTACACAGTTTTAATTCCAAATGGCGTTGTGCTTTGTCACATAAGCCCTAAGTGGACAGACTGCCTGATCACAGCTACGCATGTCCCTCCAGCTTGACAGTACCTAATGGTAGAGAGGACAAAGTACTTTCTTGGGCTAAAACTTGGAAGACTAAAGAAAATTATCATGAAATTTCTAAGGAGGGAGTACCCAAGTATTAATAATCCAGATATAGCAAACATCAGAAAAGAACATCCTCAATAATATTAGTCCCTAACATTAATACAAGTAACCGGAAATGAGATGCAAGAAAGATTATTTACTGGTTAGGTACTTTTTTATAGTAGCTGCATCTGGCCTGGGGTCAGTCTTCATTGCAATATAGACTGCTAGGGCTGTTTGATCTATATGAGAAATAACAGCATTTGCAGCTTCAACAATCTCATTGAGCCTTTTCATTCGTTCCTGAGGAAGAGAAGAAATAAAACAGTAGGTCAATTGGTGCATGAAGGCATTTTCATTCCTGTCGTCTCCACCCTGCGAACTGCAGTGCAGTGCGGGGGGTGGAACATGACACACAGGACGCTCACCTGGGTACAGCCCAGCGGCTCTGGGTCCTCTCCTATGTGATCTCTCCAACTGTGGCAGCTGCACACTCACATGCAGACACAAGAGCACCTAACGTGCATCCCCTGCTGTGACTCAGCAATGAGAATAAACCCAACACAAAGTCCTTAAAAATTGTATTTTTTTTAATGAAAGGAAACTCCTTTTCTGCATATCCTAAGATTTCAGAGCTGTGACTGGCTATGTTATTCCACAACACATGAAAGTAGCAGTTACAAAAAAAGCATTAGCTGATAAAACACATTCTTTCTAATCCATCATGGAAAACATAAAGGTAAGAGTAAATGAGATTACAACCAAGGCCTAACTATGATTACCATGTTGTTCCCAGCAATTGGCTTCTCTCCTGTCAAAGTCTGAAAGAGGTCTCCTTAAACACATTCTAGTTCACTCAAAACCCTTTGTGACCTCCAGTGAATATGGCTAGTCCTTTCCTACTGCGAACATAAGTTTCACAAAGCTAAAGCTGCCGGACAGCAAAGACAGCTAGGCGTGTTCAGATGGTCTGGAAGCATGAAGTCACTGAAGGTGTTTATATTTCCAACTGTCCAGGACCACTGTCTACTTGCTCCTTGCTCTTTAGTTTCAGGTCACAAAACAATCTGCAGGCTGTCTTCTCTACTCTTCCTTTCTCAGAGACCACGCAAACACTAACACACTATTTACTACCTACTAACTACATACTACTACTACTACTATTACTACTACTAAACTCATAATAGCGGCCAGTTTCTGTACTATTTAATAAAACTAGCTTACTAGGTCAGTTTGAGGACGTGTTTTCAGTTGGCAAGAAGACAAAAAAAGGATGTACTTTCCTTCGAATACAATAAATGAAATAAGATTTATTTAAAAAATAAACAAGCCCGACCTTTTCAGCATCCAACTGATGAAGCCGTGCAACGTACAGAGGAAGATAAGTAGGATAGGTTTCCTTCAATTCATTATAAATGTCACTAGAATCCAGCCTATGTGTGTAAGAAAAGAAAAACACTATTTTAATCAAGTGTCTGTCTTCACTAGTATTTAATATTATTTGGAAATTCCAGCCAGTAAAGTACAGCATCAGTATGAAATACAAGCATAATCAATGACAGGATCATCACTCTTTGTGGGTAGTATTAAGTTTTTACTCAAAACACTACAGAAATCAAACTGAAAATTATTTCAATTCAGAGTTTGATATGTTTCTGATAAAACAGGCATCAGTAACTTCCTTCCATAACAGCTATAACTGGTTATTAAAAATGAGGAAAAACACATTCCTATTAAAAAGAAACACAAACAGCAAGAACAATTCTAAAAACCTTGAAATGTGGAAGATTTACATGAAGAAAATTCTAGTCTTGAATGAAGAGACATACCATGTTCCTAAATGAGGCAAATGAAAAACTCATGGTTCTTTTTGATTGTATGCATTACAATAAAAATAATCCGCTATTAACATCATAAGTACACCAGGAGACTCACTTGGAGGAAATTCACTTAAAATACCCGAAATTTTATAGTAGTAGTATAAATAAGACCAAGGTTGTCTGAGATTTTGATGTTGAAACTTTTTGTAAGAATAAATTTACTGTAGAGACAAGTCATGCAAGTATGCATAAATTCTTAGTATAAATAAATTAAGTTTTATATACACTTTCTTGACAATTATAATAAGAAAATACATATTAATGAGTTGTGGTTCTTTTTGTGTTTAGCACAAAAGTCCCTTAGAGACACATACTTTGAAATATTCTCACTTCCTGTATGCTGTATCTTGGGCACAGGCCTTTTGATTTAGACCAAGTTACTTACCTTTTGCACTTGTTACTTGTGCTTTTCCTATCTAAGAATCCTTTGCCTAATCCAAGGTCATGAAGATTTACCACATGTCAGTTTGAGCTTTAAATCTAGCCCTCTGATACAGATTGAGTTAATCTGTACACACGAGAGGCAAGGGTTCAAAGTAAAACATTTTGGAAAGATTATTTTTTCCTCATTGAGTAGTCCTGGCATCAGTACCCTTGTTAAAAACCAACTGATCAGAGACACATGGCTTTTCCTCTATTTCATTATCTGTATGTCTTCTTGTCTTTGTGCCAGCACAACACTGTCTTGTTTGGTAGTTAAGTTTTGAAATCAGGACATGTAAGTCCATTTTTTTTTCTTTTTCAAGACTGTTTGACTATTCTGGGTCTCCTGTAATTCTGTATGGACCGTAGAGTCAGTTTAATTTCTACAAAGTTGTCAGTGAGGATTTCGGGGTGGGGGGAGATTGTGCTTAATTTTCACATCAAAATGAGAGATTCTGTAACTATTAAATCTAATTCATGTGTAGGATAATTTTTCCATTACTCAGATTTTAATTTCTATCAACAATGTTTTATAGTTGTAGAGTATTATAAATTCTGTATTTTTTTGGTTAATTTATTTCTATGTATTTTTCTTTTTTGGTACCAGGGATCAAATATTTCTATGTATTTTTTTTAAATTTTATTTTTGATGTTATTGCAAAAGGAGTTGTTTTCAACTTCCTTTAAATGTTGATGTATCTGGACTTATTTCTAGCATTTTATGTTTCATCATCTATATGTTCTGTGACTTTTTTTGTTCCTTCTTGGCTTTCTTTTGTACAAAGTATTTTCTAATTAGCATTTAGAGTTCTTTAATAATGTTTTGAGGGGCCAGGGATTTATTTAGCTCAGGTGGTTCCACCACCTGCCCTGTAATCGCAAGGACCCGAGTTCGGAAAAAAAAAAAGTTTTGAGTTTGTTATTTTTTAAGTAATTGCTTACTACATAGATTTTGACTCAGAAGAGTCAGTGTCAGATTTTTCCTAATTCCATTAAGATGTGCAGACACTAACCTTTTATACCTCCATTTCCTCTTACTTGTGTAGTTTTATTGTCCCATATGTTACATTTGCTAAGGTCACAAACTAATCAGTTCATTGTTACAGTTACTTTACTATCTGGGTCATTTCCTTGGCCCAACACACTTTTGCTCCCATTCACATCCTTTGTGCTCTAATTAAAAAATATATGACACATTATTACATTTCACTGTTACAAGCCTAGTAATAAATGCATATAACACATTGATACGACTGTTTTAAATTAAGAAACAAAAGAACAAATATGCACTTATGCAGTATTTTACAATTCTATAATAATTACTTTTACCAGTGTTTTCTCCCCATCTCCACCAATGAGAACCCAAATTCCTGTCAGGTCACCTGCTTTCAGGATGAATTTTTTAATATTTCTTGGAAGTATTTCTTGTTAGCAATAAATCCTCATTATTTTTTATATACCTGGGAATGTCTATTGTGCTTTCAGTTTCAAAAGACAGTTTTGTTGGATGTAGAATGGAAAGTTGGGTTTTATGATGATTTTGAATACACTGTATCATTGACCATCACTGTTTCTGCTCAAAATTCAGCTGGTAACCTTACAGGGATTCCCTTGTAAGTGATAACAGCTCTTCTTCTATTGCTTTCAAGATTTTTCTATCTTTGACCTTCAACAGTTTTACCATGATACAGTCACTTGTCAATTAATGATGGGACACTTTATGAGAAATTCATTTTTAGGTGATTTTGTCACTGTTGTGGTCATGCTAAGAGTGTACTTACACAAACCTAGATGCATAGGCCAACATTCAGTGTAGCCCTTTAGAGCAATTAAAAGATGTGGTAAAGATGAGATACATGAGGCTACTGCCTCTGCTAATATGCATACTAATAGGAAACTTTTAAAAGTACATACTAGGATACTGCAACAATAAAAAGTATAGTACAGCTGCTGCCTGCTTTGCAGGCACAAGGTCCCGAGTTCAATCCCCAGTACCAAAACAAAAAAAAGTATAGCACAGTAAATACATAAATGAGTAACATGGTCAGTTGTCACTATTAAGTAATATGTACTGTACATAAATACATGTATTATACTGTTACGACTGTTAGCGAAGTAGGTTTATACCAGTGTCGTCAGAGTCACCTGAAGTTTTATGCTGTGCTACAGTAACACCAGGCAACAAGAACTTTTCATGCACAGTATAATCATGAGACCACTATCTTGTATGTGGCCCACTGCTGACTGAAACATGGTATGTGATTGATCAATCTGTGGACTTCTATTTTTACTTAGGGTTCACTGAGTTCCCTGGATGTGTACATTAATGTTTTTCAATAAATAAGCAAAGTTGTCAATCATTATGTTTTTCCTGTCTTGTCTATTGGTATTTATATGATATGTGTTCTGGTGTGTGAATGGTGTCCCATTTCAAGGCTCTGTTCATTTTTTTTTTACCCACCCCCCCCATCCCCAGTTTCTGAGAGCTCTTAGGTATAAACTTCTCCATCTTTGGTAGCAAATGAAGCCAGTTCCTTTGAGAAGAAATTAGGAGCTATCAGGTGTAAGACTTTCTTGTGCCTTATCAAAGAATCTCAGCATGACCTCCGGAGCAGGGTGATGCCCCTACTTTCAGAGCTAAGCACTTCTGATGAAGCATGGGAGCCTGAAGTCTCCTCCGCCTGCCTTGCCAGGGTGGAACCACAGCTTTCTAGGCACTGAGCCCCAGTGTTCCCCACAGTACTTCCCAAGGGGGGGATGGGGATGGGCAGAAGGGAGCCCCCACTTCCTGGGCACATTCAGCTAGCACGCAGCTATGTAACAGGCAGCTGGGCAGGACAGGAATAACCTCCTGGCTCCTCCTAGGCAGAGTCTTCCCTCTCACTATGAAGCGGGTTTACGGCGACACAAATCTGAAGTCAAGTTTCTTTCTCATGTGATTGGCAATGCAGTGGTCTTGGTTCAAATACCACAATATGTTCACTTTTCTTGCCAAATGTTTGGAGACATTTCTGAAAAGATATTTCCTCATATGCTGTGTGCCTTTAAAAACCTTTCCAGTGGATCCGGAAGGTTGTTTCTTTAAAAGATAATTTTCACTAGTTTTACAGGGGAGTAGAATCATGGGGCTCCCCAAACTGTCAAGCTGCAAGTCAATCTCTGCAATTTCACTCTTGGGAATTCATATCATATTCTCATCCACTTGTAATGTCCTACAGTCTGCCAAAGACTGGTATACTACTTTGACTTCTGGTGGAGACACAACCGAGGTTTAAATGAGAAGATGAATTCGAGTTGCCACCATAATGGGGTTCCTTCACAATAAGGGTTCTGTTCTCTCTAAGAACTCACAGCTACAAAGATGCCTCAAAAGCCAGCAGATGAGAACTGCCACAGAAAACTGGTGGTGAGAGAAATACTGTATAACAAGTGGAAAGAGCAACTAACTCAAACACACAGAACAAACTTCCACATAAAAAGTAAGACGAAAGTCAAAAAATAAGCTGGAGCTGGGCCGGGGATTCAGCTCAGTGGCTCCACCACCTGCCTCACTAGCGCAAGGTCCCAAGTTCGATTCCTGGTACCAAAAAAAGAAAGTTAGAGGACACGTGACAAATACAGAAAAGTATTAATATTTTTTAACTTTAATTATAAACTGACAAAAAAATCTAATATTCTGATAGAAGTATGGGCAAAGAACATCTTCAATTGATAGAAATTATACAATGTATAACGTTTTAATCACTTACCAGTTCAATTATTTAAACACAAGATGACCAAAAATTGCATTTAAAACATCTTTATAACAGGAAATATAAAAATGGAAATTTTATCAAATTTATTCAATACAAGAATCGACTGGTTGAAATGACACCTGCCCAAGTAATGCTGAGGATAGTCAGTACCTAAACAAACACACTGGTCAGGGATGCTCAGGGTAAATTGCTAAGTGGTTAAAAGCTCAACTTTGACAGCTAAAGAAATACAGTCAAAAACAGTATCTTGCAGTATGCATAAACAGCTGCAGGGTACTGAAATTATGTTTGCACTAGGATGAAATTTGGCAAAGATAAAGATGACTCAAAAATTAATACTTGATTCAGTAATTACACTATAATATCTGACGGAAGTTTTAAGAAATCTTTATGCATAAAAAGGTTTATCACAGCATTACAGAGAAAAACTATTAAATATATACGCTAAAGAAAATGTTTCAGTAGACTGTGTTGCAATCCATAGGAGCATAAACTATTTATGTAATCATTTAAAATAGTACTTTAAAAAGAACCAGGCATGGTGGCGCACACCTGTAATCCCAGCACTTGGGGAGGCTGAAGCAGGAGGATCTCTGAGTTCGAGACCAGCCTGGGCTACATAGACAGTTCAAGAACAGCCTGCACTACACAGTGAGACCCTGTCTCAAAACAAAAACAACAACAAAAACACTAAAAGGCCTCAGAAATGCTCACACTTGAAAGAAACTGGGACATAGTATTATTCATACCACTCTACAGAGAGAAGTAATGAAGGGATAATGGTTACCTTTGGAGGGTAGGAAAAGTTATTTTTCTTTTTCTTTCTATGCCCTTCAATAAGATTCTCTTCAGAAGCAAATTAGAATAAGTAATTACAATAAGAAAGAAGCAAATGAGAATGTGATTAAAATAAGAAAATATAAACATTTTATCACAAAAGCTAATTATAAAAATAAATATAAATACATAAAAATTAAAAACACTTGTAATTCTACCATCCACTGTTAACAGTTTTGAATATAATTTATGGATATACATGATTATTATAGTTGGGAAAATAAAATATTTAGGGGATTAAAATTCACTCAAAAACCTACTTTGTCATCCACTGAATTTTAAGATCTCGTAATGCTTCAGTAAACTCTTCTTTTAAATCTTTCTCTTTTTCTGAATCCTTTTCCTTATCTTTGCTGCCATTCTTAGTCTTTGTTGGTGGAGGTATTAGGTAGTAATGAACAGGGATTACATCCTGTGAATATGGAAATTCTTATATTAATACGCTTAACTTTATATTCTTTAAAATCATCTTCAGTAGCTGAATATAACATGAGTTGCACCTGAGTTGTCTACATCACATTCCAGATTCTAAGGGTCATAAAACATAAAAAATGCCAATCTACAATCACAGTAATTTTCTCCCAAACTTTAAAGTACTCATAGCTTCTCATAGCAACTTTAAAATAAAGGAAGTAAGAACATATTGTTCATTTCAGTATATGTAGTACTCTCAGCTTTAACTGACAGATTAATGACAAAAGCACATCGACCTTTCACATTTTAAATCTAAGCAGGGGAAGAAAGAAGTTCAAATTAAAAAGAGAAGAGACTGTTTCTAAACAGTTTTAAGGAGATATTTACTCCTTTATCCATGAAATCCACAGGACTCCTGGAGACCCCGCCATGTGCCAGTAACACTCTGACTGGGGAAGGAGCGGCAGCAGCGATTCCCTCTCCCACCCTGACACACACCGCACTCTAACGGGGAAGGCAGACAGTGAGCACACAAGCGAGGGAACCACTTCCGACAGACACCAGAGGAGATGAAGAAAGTAAAGCAGATTAAAAGGACAGACAGTGACTATTAGGTAAGGTGGGGAAACAAACACAGATAAAGTGGTTATAGAAAGCTAAGTGAACCTAATGACAAATGTGAATGAATCCAAGTAAACCTAGCTAACCTAACTGAAGAGAGAAGGAAGCCCATCTAGCACAGGAATTATTGTTTGAAGGCAGAAGAGAGCGAGTACAAAACCTGAGCTTGGTGTGTGAAAAGCACAGTTGTATACACGGAGAAAGTAGGCAGCAACCATAATATACAGGGTAGATGGAATGTAGTTTTTAAAAAATACAGATTTTAAGTACACAGACAAGCCTACCACAAGTTTTATGCAAGGTATTGATTATAGACATGATCACTAATTTTTGCTTTTTGGATTATATGGATTAACAAACTGTATTTGGTTTTTAATAACTCTTGTTAATATTTGGAGATTGAATCTTATAAAACAAAAGCAGAGGCACAAAAAAAAGTAGAGGCAGGAGAATAGGGTAGTAAGTGAACCCAGGAAGCCCTAGGGTGTGTAGGAAGCAGAAGACAGTGAGGAGACCTCAAATCCCTTTTGAAGGTAGACACAGTATTTGCTGATGGCATTGAAAACAATGGGAATGGGCAAGGCCAGCAAGGGTAGGAGATGTGGGAATTGTAAGAATTCTTGTTTGTAAATGCCTGAGAAGGACAGAAAGCAAAAATCTGGGGTCATAGAAAGGCCACCATCAAGCAAAAACGGAGCGACTGAGCAGAGATGGTGTGTGGCATGGACGCGGACGGACGCGACCAGGAAACCTGGCAGCAAGGAGCCTGCCGGGGCGGGGCCCTGGGCATGGGGAGGAATGGAGAGGGCTGCAGAGCAGGGTGTGGACAGGCCCACAGTGCTTCTGGCGTGTGCAGCTTTGAGGAGAAAAGAGAAACAACAACAGAGCGTGGCTCCATCTGTTCTAGAGCACGAAGGTCTTTTTCTTTCAAAAAGTGATGTGCTGTTTGGGAAGTGAAATGACACATTACACTTGCTAGATTTCTTTCAGGCACAGTAACTGGTTGTCCTTAAATAAACCAGTATTTATTAAGTCAATTTCTCAAATTATATCTTCAGATTTATATTAAAACAAAGTTTCTAGAATTGGAACAAACTATTACCAAGAAGACTTTTACTGTCCTCATCACAGTATTTGAGAAGAAACTTCAGAAAAATAGTATTGCAAGCCCCTATTCCCCCAAATAGGATTTTTAAGGTGTATGTCCTATATGAGTGTCTATTTTAACAAGGTTCTCAAACTCAGTTTGGGGTATGAAATAACAGTGAACATGAGGAAGTACTGCTGTAGTTCTAATAGTATTCATTCCAACACCACACAGCACTAGTGTCCTCACGACTCACTGGACCTGCAGAGGAATTCCGACGTGCGACACTACACAAATCCACACGCAGCCCACCGACTCCACTCCTCCCCTTCTTCTGATCGGAAGCCAGAGCCTGCAACAGGAAGGAGCTGGTGCGAAGCATAAGGCTGGGAACACAAACAGCTCTACCTCTTGCGCTCGCTCTTTCAAGCCCTTGCTGCCACCTCCGTCCTCTCCCTGAGCGGTCAGCGGGTGCTGACCCGGGCGGGGCCATGGGAAAGGGCCTGCACAATCCGGGCCCGTGAGCTCCCCCCAGGTTCTAGGCGGACAGGCTGCCTGCGGGTCACCGGCTGGGCCCTCGGGACCTGCGGGACCCGCCTCAGGGTCTGACGTTCTGCTCCTCTGGGGAATCCTGGTCTTCACCCCCACTGTGCGGGCCGTGCCCGGCATTGCTCGGCAGGCCCCATGCGCTCCACAGGCCTGGGCCTCTCCTGTGTTCTGGGCTGGGGGACGGGTGGGTGAGCTTCCGGGAAGGAAGCCTCTGTGTGGAGAGGCACTGCCTCCTCTGAGCTCGGAGGAGAGGCATTTGCTAGGACTGTTTAGTATAGAAACTAGAACATAGAACTGAATTTAAAATGAGCAATCCGTTAAAATTAATTTATAATAAACAACAATAGCAAAGACCTATAAAATTAGAAGTCCTACCATGACAAGCTTAAACTATCCCTAAAAATACAAAAGGGAAGAAAAGTTTGTAATGAATTATCTGAGGAAAAAAGATCAAGCCTTTTCAATTAGTACAATTATAAACGTTAGTATAACCCTACAAAGCATTTCAGGACAAGTTTGTATTATTAGTCTTTTTTCTTTTTTTTGAGATTGGTCTCGCTATGTAGTTCTGGCTGGTCTTGAACTCACTACATAGGCCAGGCTGGCCTCAAACCCTCAGTGACCATCCTGCCTCAGTCTCCTGGGTGCTGAGGTTAGAAGTATGCACCACCATGCCTGGCTAAAATGTTTTATTGTTAAAAATTATAAATTTGGTAGCTGAGGGTATAGCAGCTCGGTGGGAGAGTGTTGCTTAGCACATGTCCCTGGGTTCGAGTCCCAGGAACACCCCCTCCTCTGCAATATGGTAGTTTTATTTTCTAATCAAAAGAAAAATGGAGCTATTTTTCATTGTATTGTCATAATCATTTGTTCATTTTATAAATGAGTATTCTTTCAATTTACCTCTCAAAGACTTAGTGCAGGGTCAGTTTAGTAGAAATGACTTTGTACATTAAATCTTTGGCAATCTTGATTGTGGTTTAAAAAGATAGTCCAAAAAACCCTTCAAAGCAGAAAAGCTATGAAGAGCTCTCTTTGGTAGATACCTAAAGTGTTTCAGTAGTGTTCAAATTGAAAAATATTCAGTCACGCTCATCAACTAAACCAATGACCATTCTTTGTCCAGCATAACATATTATCATTTAAATTCTATTCAAAAAATATAATTTCTTAGGTTCTCAAACTGACAGCCATAACTTCATAAATTAAGTTTTATGCAAAGTATTATGAAGATTAATATTATATTTAATGCTATTTATGATCTGTTAAAATTAAATTCGTTCACATTACATATATGCATGTGGTTTTCTTGTAATTTGTCTGTGATGCTTATTTTCTAAATAAGAGCTTCACTGTGTGCTTGCTCTGAAGGGAGGAAGGAACAGGCAGATGTAACTCTTGCTGCCAAGCTCTTTATATGAAACTTTGCTGACCATCAAGTAATAATTTTATTCATTCATTATATTTCTACCCTGTACAAAGTAATCCAAACAAAACCCACTAAAATTCCAGAGGTTAGCCAAAACAAACAGGAAGAAAAAACCCGGCTATGATCTTGGTGATATGTGTCTTCTATTTTTAAGGGGGTCCTTGAATACCTCTTCCCCATTCTCCAAAGCAGTGACTTTCATATTATTTTTTTGTTTTACAACTCTCAAACTATTTTCAACACAACCCAAAAATGTACATGTTAACATAATGAAAAATTTAAAAAAATGCTTATATTCCTATAAATGAATTTACAAGACTCCCCCACATTCAGCTGAGAAATATTAGTCTTCTCGCTTATACCCAGAAAGATGATTTAGTTTGAACAAAGTATTCATCATTACATAACAAAAATTTCAGAGTATCTTTTAATAAAGGCATCTTATTTATTGTAAAATAGTGATTCCCAGTTCTATATCACTAAAAATTAAAAAACAAAGTTATCTTTTACTTATATCTTAAAACACTACTGATTCTCCTATGTAATACTTCCTACTTGAAAGAAAGAAACCACTGAAATGCTAAATGCTGTCAGTGAGGTTTTACCAAAGAGTCAGTGGGTCTTCATTTAACACATGTTCCTTTCTCTAGAAATACCTGAAGTAGGAATTGCCTTACTGAGACAAATTTGGCTCTGGCAGGCAATAAAGATGGTCTAACACACTGTAGAGAAGTTGAACAGGTCACTGCAGGTCTTAAAAATGTTTCTATTCTTAAACTTTAAATTTCTGTCCACAGTTCAAAATTATCTTCATTGCTCTTTTTGTCTCTGTCCTTGCAGAACTAGATAGATTCAAGAGGAGGGGATAAACTTCACTATAAAAAGTTGGCATATTTTATTATTCAATTAAAAAATGCTTTGAAAATTTAAAAAACTATGTGCTTTGGGCTCTATGGTTAAAATATCACATTCATCTTTTCATGGAACTTTAGATACAGAAAGTTTTAAATTTTCTTACTATCTGTAACAAGAAATGAACAGCATTACAATTTTTCTACATACACAGGAAAAATAGGGATTGTCTAGCAATTCATGGCTGGGGATAAAAACCTCTAGAAAAGGAACGTGCCAACATTGCTTGTAGGTAGAGCTAAGAGCATTAAACTGCAGAACATAAAGAAAGAAAACTAAGGGAGAGAATTTTTAAAAAAAGATTTATAAGGGACAGGAAAAAACTTTAATATGTAAATAAAGCTTTAAGATATTGTTTTTAAGAACTGACAATCAGTACCTTTTTAAATTTTCCTTGTCGTTTTGCTGCAGACTGCCCCTGGGAGTTAGAACGACATTCTGTAAGAAAACATGCATAAACTACACAGGATGGAGACACCACCTCGGTCTAAATTTCTTCCAATTTATATTTCACCGGTATGTGTCATAGTGCTCAGAAGGGTCAGCTCTGTGATCATAATGGCATGCTTTCAAAGAAAGCAACACTGCCATTTTAACTGCTTAAAGAAAAATGAACTCAAATATACTGTACTAAAATGTTTACAGCCTTTTATCTAAAATAGTGATCAAAGTCCATTGGTTTGGAAAATATTTTTTAAAATATTAAATTTAGCTGACAGTCTGCAGAATCTGATTTCAGAGAATGTCATGACAAACACAACCCTATAGAATTTTATAAAAAGCATCAGGGTTATTGTGAAAGTCAAACAGAAGTAAAACTGACAATTACCTTCCCAACTATGAAAAATATAAGAAATACAAAATTACTAGGCAAAGAATAAATAATATAATAAAGATTATAATTAACCCAATAGCTCTAGGTTACTTCTCCCCTCTAAGAAAGTCTTTCTAACTATAGCTAACTAATTATAATTAAAACCACTCATTTATAATTTAATTTCAAAATTTCCTCTAGAACAATACAACCAGGAAGTACTATTTCTGAATCACTAACTCTTTTTTTGTTCAACTTTTCAGAAGGAAGGGTCATGTGTCATTTGGGTGAAAATTCAAAGCTATAGCTTCATACCTAAAGCAGCTATGCTTCCTATGAAAAGACATCTACAAATAAAGATGACTGAGATTTCCTAAACAGTGCATGTATGAATTCCAGTAGTAATCACTGATTTACTTCAAATTATACTGAAGTCTGTATGCACAAATAGAATAAAATGAAATAAGACCCAAGAAATGTCATGGTAAACAATTTTTTCTAAGCACAAAATTCCCAAACTTTTCTTCAATGACAATAAACAAATAATATTAGTTCTGTAGTGACAAGAAATAAAATCTATTCATTTTGACAGCTTTTCTAGTTCCAGCATTAGGTAGCAGATTTAACTTAGCTCTCTAAGAACTGTAAGAATGACAACCTTTTGTGGTATAGAACTAAAGCAATTCTATGACAAAAGGTGACAGATCCACTTAAATACCATTCTCATCATAGATTCTGACGAAAACATAGATGGGAAAACCTGAGCAGATACTCATAAAGTTGTAACATTCATCTCCCAATTATTACAACCAGAAATTATTTCTTAAAAAAGCCTAATTTTGAAATTGTGAAGTAAAAGATAATGTGAAAGGAGCTATTTCATCTACATACTTATGAAAGATTCCAATAAGAGAAAGATCTGTACAAGTGTGAAAAATATTGTTCATTAGTAATAACTGTTCTGGTTGGATTTTAGAAGCAACCCAAGATAATATGATTTATTTCTATATCCCTAATATGTCAGTTAAAATTCTATAGCCTGTTGTAATTTTAAACATCTGATTTCCTTAAGCCAAGTTTAATTTGGACCTACATGTTTTGTAAGAAGTTCAAATATATCAGCCACTGAGCTAGGATAAAGTTCAGGGCCTGAGGATGTAGACTTTTGAGAAAGAACATTAAATATTTTTAAAATATGACACATTTTAAAAGAGAAGCAAATATTAATTCATCCTCTCTAGTAACGCAAGGACTCAAGGACTATCCCTCCATATTTTCTTTTACCCATACTGAAATGTGGAAATAATTCCCACTGTTAAAGAAATAAAGATTTGGAACTGGTAATTTTAGCGTAAAATGACTAATACTTACAGCTTTCTTGCCAAGTTCCGTCTTTGACAGGGTTAAGGACCCTGCAAGGTAGCATCCAGGTCCTGCCCCTTTCGGTATTCTAGTAAGAGAATTTAGGGTGGTGGTGGGGGGCAACAAAAGAGAAAGTTTCACAAAAATAATTCAGGGAAAAACATCAAATCATTCCCTACTTAAATAATTCCCATGTTTATGATTTCAAAAATCAGAGATAACTTCACCCCCAAATGGTAAATGGCCACATACTTACTGTGAATGCTCCCTAGTGTAATGACTCACGTTTGAACAAGCACAGCGCATTAATACAGGACCAAGTACCAGCAAGAGCATCACTTACTTGTCGTCAGGTAAGGCCGTGACGAAGAATGGCTGGTTGTACTTGGGCGGCAGTGTCAGGCTGCTCGCCTTCTTCTTGCCCAGAAGGGCAAGGCTGTGACTGTCGTGAATATCCAGGCCCAAGGTGTTGGACAAGCGGTGTGAGACTGTGAACGGGAGGTCCCTGAGGCGCTCCAAGTCACTGATCTGCTCGTGACGAATCTGTAGTCGGATTGTATAATCGCCTTTCTCCAATTTCAAAGAATACTGAGAAACAAACAGAACATTTGGGAAAAATAAACCAAGATGAAGGGAGAATGGGTCCATTTACGCAGCCAACAAGGTGCAAGCCACCACACACACAGTTACAAGACGATGAAGTCCCCAGTGAGGGGGCCGGCAAGCAGATGGCACCAGGGAGTCTGAGTGGCTCTCTGGGCACAGAGAGAGCAAAAGGGAGCTGAAGTCACTTCGGACTGACAGAACAGTCCCACATTCTGGGCTAAATCAGTGTCTGCTCAAGAATGATAAAAGCACTGGTCCTCAGAGACATGTACATATTGCCAAAAACGAGCAGAAGTGAGATGCTATGTACCATCTAAGACAAACACCGTGCATGTGTGTGCATGCACATGACCTCCAGAGACTGTTACATTATAACCAAAATGCTACACCTGTTTAATGTGACTAGGAAACATAGGAACCAACAAAGATCAGGGAATATAAAGCTATTCTGATCCACCTAGTTAACATGTTCTGAGAAGATTTTTAAGTCACCAAAAAAGACTGCACTAATCTAGTGCATGCAGAGATGACTGTTGCTTGCGGAGGAAACAAATATATACTTCCTTGCATGACTAACTGAAAAATCCTCCATGAATTATTTTCATTATTTAGCATGAAATTACAAATGTTACAGAAGCATCTTATTCTCTGTAACAAAATCTCAATTAGGGATGAAATTTCGACTAGTCATATGACTAAAAGACTTTTCCTTACAGTTATGAAATGAAGAAGAACATCTGAAGGCTCTAATAAACTGAAGCCACTGCTTTAATGGCCTCTCGACCCTACTCAGACCCGGATCCCTTCTGGGTGCTCACACACCTCAGACAATCTGTGGGGCCTCCTTCAGAAGGGGAGCACTGTGTAAGATGCTGCAGGGGAGCACATGCTGATCAATCTCCTGTAGCAGCAACAACCAAAAAGGCTATGCGGGCCAGGAAATGTCATCCTTTGTCTTCCTTTACCCTCCAACATGATCAGCTCAAATATACGCTGTCAGTTGTCAAAGTAGTTGTTCCTCAACAACTATAAGACTCAAGGGAGCCTCTCGTGGTTTGTGAAAACACTAGATGCAAAACTATGCTATCTTTAAAAACATAAATGTTGTCATAACAAGAAATCAGAGATTTATTAGTTCATCAATTAGCTTCAGTTAATTTAAAAAAAAAAAATCACTGCTGGACCAGGGATTTAGCTCAGTGACACTGTGCCTGCCTTGCAAGTGCAAGGTCATGTGTTTGATCCCTGGTACCAAAAAAAAAAAATCACTGTCAATTTTATACCTGATGTGGGTAGGCATCGCCTGAACCCATCTGTCTTTTGTTCTGGTCAAAAATAATCCACAGTTGACTGTCAAATTCTGACTCATATAGCAGTTCACACAGAAGTGGGCAGCTTGGAGTTACTTCTCCAATCTTGGGCTATTAAAAAAAAAAGATTATTTGATGTTATTTACATATTTCTAATATAAGATTTTTTGGGGGGTTACCGGGGATCGAACTCAGGACCCTGTGCTTACGAGGCAGGCGCAGTGTCACTGAGCTACATCCCTGGCCCTCTAATATAGATTTTTAAGTTACTGATGTAAGGCTTTCATTAAAAACTATTATACTTTTGTATAAAAAGTTTGCAAATGCAGAACATCTAGAATTTTGGCATCAATTAAAGGGACTTTTGCAAACTTTTAAAAGCACAAATTTGTATCCATTAATAAAGCAATAATCTTCAGATCTCTTCCTTATACAATTAGAATCTGACAATTCACTGAAATCTATTATCTCATCAACCTTAAAACCTGCTCAGTAGTTGTTTTATCAAAATCTTACCGATCCTAAGAAAACTCTTTGATCTAACATTTACACTGGTCTCAGTTATTTTCACCAGTCATTCCACTTAGGAGTTACTCTGATTTTTCACTCTTCCAATGCCTCCCTTCACAGAAAGCAATCAAGGCCAAAGGGCATAAGCAGAAAAAAATGTGGCATTTTGGAGTCCCCCTCCCCGCATCAATGGGCCAGTTATCACTGATTATACAAACTGAGGCTCAAAGGCCAGGTGACCACTAGATTACACTTTGTGATTTCACATCTGACTGGTATTTAGATCAATAGAATCACAATTTCCTAAGAACAATTCCAAGTTAACCAGTGTTAGTAACTTGACTCCATTTCACATACCATTTATAATATACCTCCATTTGTGATCTTATGACTCATGAAACACTGCAGTTCGTCACTGTGTGTAGCTGGCAAACACTTACTTGATGAAAGTTGTATGTCAGGACCATCTCATAAAGTTGACGGTTATTTGGCAAAACATCTCTTGATCCTAAAGGTTTTGTTTTTGCACTCACTGGGCTGTAATAAGGCAATTACAGAACTGATTCGATTCAAGAGTTCATTAAGTAAGCCATTAAATTATAAGAAACAAAAATCTATAACATGTTACCAAAAGTGAGAGATAAGCATTTGGGAAAACTCTCTTTGTAGCATACTTTATAATATTTTCGTCATGAACATATATAATTCTTTACTTCCTGAATCACAGCAATACAGTCAAAATTTTGCAATAAACATTATAAAGGCAATCTTTGCATGGTAAAAACATTTTCTAAGGGTGCAAACAGCTCTTAACCAAATTCCAGCACTAGGGTGACAATCAGGAACAGTGCTGAAGGACAGGTCTGACTTGTACCCTCCCATCCACATAGCCAACAGCACTGCACAGGCCACAGCAGCCCTGCAGCAGCTCCATCTGCCAGGGCCACACCTGGCCCTTGTCCTGACCCAAGGATTAGCATCTAATCTCAGTAACCTCTGAGGCAAGTTACTAAAATACAGACTTTTACAAAGGAGAACACTGAGATTGGGGGACTAAGATTTTAGTATAAAGATGTCAGCAAAATTTATTAATCAACTTTAAATGTAGTTGCAATTTTTGAGATTCAGGGGAAAAACATTAAGATGGTACAAGTTAGATACTCCTTCAGAAAATGGGAGGCTTTATTTTCATTGGTAATTCCAAAAGGCAGTGTATCTTTTAACACTCCCGTCACCGACTACTCTCCACAATGGGCTCTTGTGTACTTGTTACAAGGCCTCACACTGACAGGAGTTAAGGTCAGATCATGCAATAAAAACAAGGTATCTCTGAAGCACAGGCCCTGCTTCCACGCTGGGAGCTACTGAGGCACAAAGAGTAGAGTCCTCAAGCTTCTCCTATCTGTAAGACTTGCCAGCAGTATCATTTCGGAAAATGATGCACTAAGGATTGCAAACACAAAGTCAGATTCGTACTAACTCGCACGCTATTTCATGTCAAGACAGGAAAAGGCTAACACCCACTAGTCCTGAAGGGATCAACTGTGCTCTGCCCTGAGCTTGGCCAGTCAGGTGGGCAGCGAAGCTGCTGTTCCAGGGCTGCCTCTCCCAGAGCTCGGCAACTGGATCTCACCTCCAGTATGGACATGGATTACAAAGAGGGACCGTTTTCAAAGAGTGTCGGTGATTACCCCCACCAACATTCATCTCTAGCCCCCAAAACAATGAACAATACCGTAGCGTTTGGACCCAGCTCTTCAGAGTTATGCAGGGAGCCAGATCTTCATATTTTAAGGAAGACTGAACGTCAAAACGGTTGATTCCTTCTGATGCATGCTATAAAAGGTATTTAATAAATTAATTTCTCAAACTTTAACTATAAAGACATAACACTCTGCATCTGAAGTTTATACACACCAAGGAACAATGACTACTGCTATGTTTGGAACCATGGGTCAATTCCCCATGAAGGTCTAAAGCTAACCAATGAAATTATTTTCCAGTAACACAAATAAATGACATGAAAAATGACAGAAAGGTCACAGAACTTACAATGTTTAACTGAGGAGCAGTGCAGACTATCCCATGGAAAGAAATGGTATAATCGATATTGACATCACTGAGACTGGCCCACCACCGAGCAATACAAAATTCAATTGCTTTTCCACCCTGCAAAAAAAAAGAAAAAGAGGATAGATTACAATATATAACTCTTCTATTTTCCCTCAAATTATAAAATATAAATATTAGCTATTTCACAGTATTTAGTTTTTTACACATAGCAAGAAAACTCAAACTTTACCATTTATGCTAGGTATTGAGTCATATCTACATGGATGGATGTAGGCATTGAAATAGTTATCTACATAATCTTACTTTTTTATCAGAAAGATCTCGGCAGCTTTTGAAAACACACGTAACACCAGTGAAAAAGTGGGATACAAAGTCGGGCCAAACGAATCGTGATGAGGAATAAGGCCAAGAGAAAGGCTTTCACCACTTCGTAAGGCGCAGGTGCGCTCCAAGGCACAACTGGCTTTTGGGCTCAGCGCTACCTACCTGGTGACTAAAACAAAATGAAACGATGGTCTCTTACACTCTTTTTCCCAGTTAAGAAATAAAAATATAGGGCCGGGGATTTAGCTCAGTGGTTCTGCCACCTGCCCCACAAGTGCAAGGACCCGAGTTTGATCCCCGGTACCAGGAAAAAAAAAAGAAAAGAGAAAAACTGTTCATTAGCAAGTTTAAAAAGAATTATCTAACAATGACAAGATACAAGAACACAAATAAAACTCTCAGGACAGGAGAGATGTGGGCAAGATACCCAACCCCCTCTGGGGGAGGGACTAGTCCTCACTGTTAAAGAGAAAGCTAAGGAGGGTTATCGAGCACTGCCTGAGGTAATCACCTGCGGAGCAGTAACAGGGTCACCTGTGAAGCAATGACCTCATTTCTTAAGAGTAGGACATTAAGGAAGTAAGTTTCCTAGGAAAAGCCTTGCCTAAGGTAATAAAACAATGAGGAACAGTTTAATTCAGCGTTCAAATTACCAAGTGTCAGAATCTGCCATATTAGCACTTCTTACTCAATTATTCAAGAGTTAAAAAGACATGAATTTTTACCTCCAAGACTCGGTTTTAAGAACCTTAATTAGACTACCCTGTCTTCCTACGTCATTTATTTTGGCATGAACAGAATGCACAGTCCCAAGGTACTCGGGGTACAAATGACACAGTGAAATTCAAATTCAAATGCTTGGTCTTAGCCCATACCAAACTGCACAGAAAGTTTGGGATTTTATCTGTTAGTTAAACTTACCAGGACAGGAAATGCTTCGGTCAGTGTTCCTTTTTCTGGAAGAGAGCAAAACTTGTAGAACTCGTGACTTCGATATGCTCTTTGCTTCACAAGCTGTACTGCATGAAGAACAAACTTGGCTGATACCTCAGAAGAACACGAACACACGGTAGCTTCTAAAAGGAGAAGGAAAGAGCAAAATTTTAGACTGTTCATCAAGGGACTTCAATATCTGTTTAGGGAAGAATGTATCCAGCATAACATGATATGCTCAGATGAAACCTTCATACAGTGTACTTCCTTAAAAACAAAGTAAAAGAATACTAATAAAGCTGGAAGGGTAGATGTCACCCTATGGGACATAAGCAAACAAACTGGTATTGAAATAAACCACCAGCACGGTGCAAACACCAGGGCACGGCAATCTGCCCCCAGACACACACACAATTATCCTCACTAGGTACCTTGTAAATCCCACCTTTCCTCTGGTTTTATCTGAGAACCAGTCAATTTCCATGAGGCTATAATTTTAGAAATCTCTTTATTTATTTTGCCCAATGCCATTACTATCACTTCCCTGCTAACCTTTCCCGGTCTCTTCTCCCTCTTTTGCTCTCTGTCCTGTTTATAGCAAGCCACCACCAGAACCACACTGCTAGGTTCCTGTGAGGCACAGTGGAGGCCAGCCAAAGCCACCGTGAAGCAGGCAGGACCCGAGGTTCATCTAAACCACACTCCACCCTAATCCAGGGAACCGAGGCAGGGCTCCACCTGTGTCCTCAAGGGCCCGTGGGCACACAGCTCTTGCAACCTAGGAAAGCCTCCCATTTCCTGGGACAGCAAGGGCCAGACAGGTGGACTGCGTACAGACAAATGATCAGAAGACAGTCTGGGAAACTAAAGACAATCAGCTCCTCCTAAACCAGGTCTCACACCAGTGATTTACTTCATTTTTGACAAAGTCGCAAAAAATGTTCATACACACACAAGTGATTTTATTATTTCATTTTCAACAAACCGAGAAGAGGTACATCTGTATTTACATGTAAGCATAAAAATGCACTCGGGGGTCCAAAATGTCGTTTCTAACAACTGTGCCTGTCTACCGTGTGGGACCCTGATGGGGCTGAACAAGATAACTGGTGTGAAATGCCTAACAGAGCCCACAGTCTCGAAGTATTCAGTAATGTCGGCTATTAACTTAAGCTGGGCTCACATATACGTGACACCAGCATTACAGAGCTGGAATAGACGGAAAAATAAATGGTCAAGTCAGACCACCCTTACTTACCCGCCCAGGTCGCGCCCTCGGGAACCTCAACAAAATGCCTTCGAATCTGACCAGGTTTAAAGTGCACATCTGTGAAGGCGAGGTCATAATGTGCAGACTCGTTCACCCTGAAAATTAACAAACATAACTGAATGTGACACTGTCGCAGAAAGAACTATGTTCACAGTAAGTTCACTGTTTTAAGACCTTGTGTTGCTCTCTGTTACAAACGGCTTACAAAACAGCAAGCGGAGTATTAGCCCAGCTCTGAGACACTTCAGCAGGATAGCAGTACAGATGATCCTTCTGCTCTGTCTACTTTATGATTTTAAGACACACACACACATTATAAACAGCTCCCTTTTGTGTTAAAGACTTTATAGTATTTACAGAATGTGCTAATTACCAGATTCTGGACTACTGTGAGTCCTAGATATTAAAAATCAAAGGTAATACTTTGTGTCACTGACCCTATCTTAGAGGTACGAGTCAAACAGGCAAATTAAGCCCCTCTTGCAGCTTTAAAATGCCCCCATGCTGTAAAACAGTAAGGATACACTACTTTCACAAGAAAGCAAAGAAATGTAAAAGTCAACTATCTGCTACAGAAACAAAGTATTATATATGTTAAAGTCAAGTTCATGTCAACATGATGGATTGTTTTTTTTGGTACCGGAGATCGAACTCGGGACCTTGCGCTTGCGAGGCAGGTGGCGGAGCCACTGAGCTAAATCCTGGGCCCAACATGACAAATATTTAATGAGTGTTTACAGTATCTAAGGCACTTTTACTCATGGCTTGAGATGTGACAACAGTAAAATAAGATCCTTTGTCCTAGACAAGCTAGGAAGGAGAGACACTCAGCTCTGGGAAGAAAGAAGCATTAGGGAAAATGGATGAAGAGTGCCCGGCTCACAAGAAGGGAGCTGGGAAGCTTTGAAGGGGCCGATGTGATCAGCTGGGATCGGACACACTGCCTTGCTGGGAATTCCACTCACTGTCTAGGGGACACATGACAGAGAAATCAACTGCTGCCCAGTTTTCCCATGTGAAAGTCACTCTTTAAGTTTGATCTCAACTTTACCCTATGTATCTCATGGGCTGAGATCTACTGCACTCTTAGTATCTAACCAAGAAACTGACTCAACAGAAACTTAATTCAGAACTTTCACTTGTTTTCAGTATTCTCACAACCTCAGTCTCTCCTTTCATCTGCTAAGCAATTTGTTGTGTTTTGTACACCCCATACAACGGGCTCCACGCAGGACAGGGTAAGATACAGTCTCTGCCTTCAGAGGGCTCACAAGTAGTATAAATTGAATAACAAGTTGCCACTTGCTGACTAACGTTTGTCCAGAGGTGTGCAAAGTGTCACCATGAAGAAAGACGGGGGGCTGGGAGTGTAGCTTAGTGGCACTGCACCTGTCTGGCAAGCACAGGGTCCTGAGTTCGATCCCGGGTACTGGGGGGACAGGAAGAGACTCCCTTCACTCAGGATGACTTGGAGTGAATCGGGTCACTTGGAACAAAGCAATCAGCTGTGCCTATGCACAAATCCCAAGGAAACCTGGAGCATCTGAGCAGAAAACTGTCCCAAACGTGTAACTGGGTGCATGGAACATCGGGGAGTGCTGGCTGGGGCTATCGGGAGGTCACTGTCTGCTCTTTTACGGAGCTTGAACTTGACCCTTGGAGCTGTAATGATCCACAATAGGGGTGTACTGTGAGTGAAGCTGAGATCTCTGGTTCCAGAGTGGACAACATGGAAAGCGAGGAGCCTGGAAACAGAAGGCGACTGGACAGGTGGAAGAGCCGGGAGGGAGAAGCGGCATCTCAGACACAAGGAGTCAGGAGGGAGGAGTGGCAGTGGACAAGAGAGCACTGTCAAGCACTGCGAGGGGTCAGGTAAGACGAAGGCCAAGCCTCTCCACTGAGCAAGGCGAGGCCATCAGAGCTTTGTCAGAGGCAGTTTCAGTGGAGAATCGTGGTCGATGCCAGGGACGACCCACTGTTCTCAGGTAACGGCTGACTGCATGCCACCTAGAATTCATGCTAGCTGGGAGCAGAACTAAATTCCAGTTACCTGGGTCTGGCCTATGATCCTTATAAAGTCCACACTATTCCACAAATAGCCATTTACAACTTGGATGCAACAGTAAGCTGCGAAAAACCTTTCACTTACTTTGCTGCTATCACTGCAGTGATTGGAACTCTGAACAGAGGGCCTGCATTAGGGGATGCTATGTCATAGCCACATACCTAGAAAAAAGAATGGCAGGTTTCAACATCCGTGAACGAACTTGGAAATAAGCAATAAAATGGAATATTCTAGTCACAAAATAAAGTAATCTTAAAATTTAAAGGTCCTAAACATAAGGTGACATCAGTATCTGAACATTCGGTCACATAATTAGTAAGAGCAAAAAGCTCAAATACATTTACATCAACCCTTGATTAACTGAGACTAATGGGAAAATGAGCCATCAAGTACAAAATGACTACATCTTCATTACTCTCAGCTGCAAACTGAGTACTACAGACAAACTAGTACTACAGACCACTTTGGAGGTAGAGACACTGTTACACCATTCCATGTTTACTCACAGCTATCGTGTGTTTAACAGATACTTTCTTAATCTGGGTATTAAAGGTAACTGGAGCTGGCACTCAGCTGAATCAAACGAGGGACAGATGACAGGGAAGACCTATGTGGAAAGTCTTGCTGTTAACAGCTTCTCTCCCCTGCCTCCTTCACACAAGGATTTAACAAGACATTCTTAAAATATCTGACTGCTTCAAAGAGGTGTAAAATCTGGCAAGCAAAAAGGTCTAGGTTCCTTTACAAGAAAATGACAGACTGCAAACACACTTGGGGGACTGTTTACTCCTAACTCTCAAACATTTTAAAAGATGAACAAAATGAAGGCTGAAGACACCAATACCTCTGTATAATGTAATCCTTCTCTCAAGCCTCTGGGATCCACACGTATGTTTATGTGTCTACACTGATTCATGAGTTCCAAATGGCTGGGACACTGGACCCAAGACGAATTTGAAGTTAAAGCTAAATGAAGCTGAAGGGATATTTTTTCTGAGTTTTCTGGCATTAAAAAGACCAAAAATCAAAATTAGCACTTTTGTCTCTCTTTTCCACTTTAAAAAGTTCTATCTTCTACCAAGATAATTTAGCAACTAGTTCAGGTAGCTGTAAAGTGGCCTAGACATGAACATCCAAAACCCCAGCCTAAATAAAACCAACACAGAATCTTTTTAGTATACTCATGAGATCTACTCATACTTCCACCAAACACTGCTACACCTTAAAATAAGTAGTTTCAGTGGGTATTTTAAGCTACTGTGTGCAGATAATAGCATCTGACTGACATAGAGTCACACACACAGGGATGACTCACACCTGAGCTGCAGTTCTCCCAGGTCGCTTTTAGGTCCCACTCTCACTGGAAAGCTCTGTCTTATATCCACTAGTAAAATGGGGAAAGAGAAGGAATTGGGTGTGTTACTGCCAATGTAATAAAACTGTGGGTCACTCAAGGTCCATTTCACCAATTTCCTTGGTAGCACAGATACTAACTGAATGGCCGCAGGGCTGGGATGACTAATTGCTCCAATACTTTCTTCTGAGACCATCAATGTTAAAACAATCACATTGCCAACTCAGAACGTTAGGCAGACAGCACTCTTGTATTATGCACCATTCACGGGAAGCATGAGTGTGGATATGTCCGCTTCTCACCAGCCTACTCCTTACCGGTGTTCTCTGGAAATACAGGCTCAATGCCAACACCATGATCTGAAGGTGCAGCCACCTGAACAGGGTCTCGGAGGTAGATGCCACGGTTATTTCCAACAGTGACTGTAAAACCTAATCTATTAGCAAATGATGTATTCTGAACGAGGTAGTCATATGCTTTATCGACCTAATCAAAGGAATATAAGCAAGATAGAGGTAAGATATAAATGGTTGAGTCAAGAAAATAATTTATTGCAAATTACCAACCAACCTTTCAATTACTGCAAAGTGTAAGCAAAAGATAGTTTCTATATACAGTTCTCTGAACTGCCCAATAGCCCAGCTGAGAGGGCAATTCTACAGTTTTATTCAAAACAGCAGTCTAATTCCCACTGGGGGAACCCTTTATGTCACACCTCACTCACACTGTTCCCTCAAGAGACCAAATCCAGAAACTGATCCACATGCCATTATGACTGATCAGTTTTTCTTTTACTTTGCTGCACTGAATTGCCAACCTTTCCATGTCCTTCATGTTTCTGCATCTTAGCACAACAACTTGGTCTGAACTGTAAAAATTTCTTTTTATATCCTTTTTGCTTGCAGTTCTATAGCCATACAATGTACAATTCATAAATACTAAGTAAGCTGCAATATTATTGTCCAGTGATATCTAAGATATTATCTTAATGATGCCTTACAACTAGCTTTCCACATTGACAATACCTGAATAATACCATGTCCTTGGGCAAATACTTCTATATTTTCAGCCTTCACTGCAGTGTTTTCTAGCGCTCTTCTGACTGAATGAACCGTATAGTCAACATTATTAGCTTTCAGACCTAAAATTAACAAACAAAAGCAGGAAGTGTTAGAGTCCACTACTTGAGACTCCAGTATGGTGAATGCAACCTGTCTGCTTTACATGTCTTGTGTTTCCACACTCACACTGAGCAGTCTGACTCAAGCTGCACATAACACAAAGACCTGATCCAACAGAGAAGAGTGCGTACCGTTCTTCAGTGGCATTAATGCAGGCTGTGGTGACAGAAATGTATGAAGGTGACACCTAGAGGCATCAGAATAACTTTCTCTAAAACATTAGACTGGCCAAACACTATGGTTTCTGGCAGCAATTTTCAAACCAGATACAAGTTATAAACACCAGAGAATTTAGGCAAAAAACCAAAATGAACAAACAAACAAACAAAAACCAATTAAGCAAGAATCAGAATCTGTCAGGCCTCGATCTCAGAGACTGATCCTTACTGAAAGCTTCCCAGCTGATTCTAGCATGCAGGTAAGAAGCGAGAAGTTACAGAAGCCAGCAATTCCTCAGTTCTGTATTACTGGCTGTTGTTAGAGAAAAGACATTCTTGTCCTCTGCAGAGCTCATCACATTTTGTAAACAAGTAATGATATAAAGTAAGCAAACAACATAAATACAGAAACATTATAACGTTACAAGGACAAATCAAGGAAGTAACCGATTTTGTCCGTAAGAACCCAAAAAGACAAAGCGCCATCAGAGGAACTGGTAGATGAGCTTGGTCTTAGAGAATGCACAGGAATTTACAAGGTAAAAAGAAACAAATAGAACCCACAAAGCAGACAGGACTTACAGTAGGAAGAGAGAGCAGAATGCCTAGAGAGAGAGGTACAGGAGACCGACCCGAAACACCTAGCGAGGCTGACCTGGACCACAAACAACGGGACGGCCGCAGCAGGGCTCGTCCTGAGTCCAGACTAACCGCCCAAGCAAATGGCACCTGACTACTGGCTTGTGCTGTAGCTCTCTGACCCCACTGTGGATGAGCCACGCCAGGGAGACTGTGGCAGGAGAGACAGTTATGGTTGTCAGAAAAGGGCGAAAAACGGAGGCTGGGAGAGGTAAGTTTTGAGTGGGACATTTTTGAGATGGGACCTTCACAACAGCCTGCGAGCCGGATTCTACGTGATTCCAATGACACTAATACTGCATATCACCCTAGCAATCCCATCTGTCTCTATTTTAGTTTACTCCATACTGGTTAACTTCGAACATGTAATACAAGTGTTTTGTTCAAAGTGTGTCTCCCTAAATAAAAGCTCCAATGGACAAGGTATTTTTGATGTTCTGTCCACTGATTTAACCCCAAATTAAAATACTGCTTGGTAATCATTAACACCAGGCAATCAATAAATGTATTTGCTGAATGAAAACACGTTCAAATTATCATCACCACATAAATCACTCTGTTCTAAACTTTATTTTGTGACCAAGACATTCATTACCGATCCCACCACATGCTCTCCTACCACGAGAACTTGGCAAACAATCTCCCATTTGGAGAGAGAGGAATAAGCAATGACCTTACCTGAAAGTATCAGGGCAATGCCTCCACATGCATTGGGGGAAGACATAGATGTCCCGTTCATTAGCTGCGTCCCCCTCAATGTCCAGTTAGGAACAGAAGCAATGGCTCCTCCTGGTGCGCTGATACTCACGCCAAGGGCCCCATCAGCACTAAATGAAAAGCCATTGGAGTCTGGTTACGATGGTGAAACCTGGATGTTTATGGGCATTCCTAAAAAGCCCGCTGGTCAAACCACCTGTATTCCAATTCTATGGGTTATCTGGAGTCATTCCAAGTAATGACACAGATATTATTGTAAGAAATCAATGGGGTAAAATACCCAGCACAGCTATTTCCTCTTCAGGCAGCATGTATTTTTTTTTTCTGTGTATGTATCTGGGTTTACAGGTGACAGGTTGGAGGTGTCAGGCATACTGAGAGGAAAACAAGTGCTCTGACCCCTTGATAGATCTACTTCTCTCCATAAGAGAAATTCTTTAGTTTGTTTAAAGTCTAATATAGTATTGTACAATAGAACATAATATGGGTTGAATTTGTCATTTAAAATTATGTAAGAGCTACATTTAAAAAGGCTGAAAAGAGACAAGTCAATTTTAAAGCTATATTTTACTTAACAGGACACATCTAAAATATTTACAACATGTAACTGTCGGAAAACAAGGGGTTAGTTTACTTTCTTTTTTGCACTAACTCTTCAAAATCCAGTGCATATTTTAGTTATAGTACACCTCCACTCAGACCAACCTCACAAGGTGGGGGCTGCCATTCTGGACACCTCAACTTTAAGAGGACTGTTCAGGTGAGGGCTTTGGCAAACAAAGTCTAATATTAGAGTCAGACAACCCTTGGTGTTCATGACCACACTGCCATTTAACACAAGCTCTGTCCTCTGTCCCAAGGAAAGAAGTAACATGACACATTACTTCCCCAGGAAGGCTGCTGGATGGACTCTTCCTCTACAACACTCCCCCAGTGGAGCAAACTGTTTTTAATCTTGGCTAGAAATACTAGGGCAATTTGATTTCACATTTTTATAGAGAGCTGAAAGCAATACACACATTGAGACCTAGAATGATTTTTACTTTCTTGCTTGCACTATGTATATTATCTACCAATGTTCAAAATGAACACCGGGTATTTTATAAATACAAAAAAGTAACTGCAAAGAGCCATGAATTTTAACTACTCTCTACTGCCCTTTATTGATCTGCCACTAGCATGTACAATGCCTAATAATCATAAAGCATTCCTAAGTCTTTAAATCAGTACTCTACAAATGAGTTTAATGAAATGTCAATGTGTTTCCTTAAAATTAAAAAAATTAGTGATATTTTCCTCTCAAATTACCATATATAATAAAAATTCATTAGACATTATTTGATAACAAGTGGAAACACCAGGAAATCAAGTAGATGCTGTATGTTTGATGTTCAATGCTTATGGAGAGATAATAGTTTCCAAAAAGCACTATGAAATCTATTCCATTCAATGACCATTAGATCATTCTGTATCTTATACTCTAATAGATGAATCTAATAATTGGACCAAGTATCTGCAGATATTTCATGTGTATTAATAAATGTGACATAAATTCAATTCTTAGAGCAAATGGTTTATGAACTAGTATGTTTTAATGTTTCCCTCGTAAACAGTACAAATGAACCCTTTGGCATTTACTTAAAATAATTCTTTATGCACTTTTTGTTTTGTTTCTTGATACTAGAGATTGAAGCCAGGGCCTCATGCATGCTAAGCATGTACTCCATGGAGCTACACGCCCAGCTCCAAATATAATTCTTTATGCAATTTATGGCACATGATTGGAAAAGGCTGGCTTAAACACCCTCTAATAATTTGTTTTTGTACTGACTATAACACAAAACTTAAAATTTCAGAATCAATTTAAAAGTAACAAGTTTAATAATTTAATACTTTTATTAACCGAACATAAACGACATAAACCTCTGCTAACTTTTGTTTTTAATTTCTCCTCACTCTTCTTTTTTTATTTGTGAAAGAGCATACTTTATTGGGAAGCAGAAAGCAAGCAGCACAGTGACCACAGACAAGGACACCCGGTAGGCACCCACATGTCACACTGGGGAAGACACGCCATGTTCTGCCAATAAAAGTCAACTGGAACACGGTCTCCCTTGGGGCACCTTCCCTAACCTCCTCCTCCTCACTAGCGATACAGCCCCTCGGGGTGCCTTCCTGTTTCTTATAAGGAAATTTTCTTTACATTTCTTGGTCTTCATTCGTTGTTTTCATTCTGTGTTCTCTCAAAGCATCAGGCCAACTTCTGTACAGACTGCGTTGATGTCAGCACCAGAGAGATCATCCTTTGCCATGATCAGGTCGTCCAGGGTCACATCATCAGCCGGCGTCATCCTGCTTGTGTTCATCTGAAAGATGGGCTTCTTAGTCTTTTCATCAGGCAGGGGGAACTCGATCTTCCTATTGACGTGCCCTGGTCTGATCAGTGCTGGATCCAGAGTTTCTATTCGGTTTGTGGCCATGATAACCTTCACGTCTCCCCGTGAATCAAATCCATCCAACTGGTTCAACAGTTCCACTACTGTTCGCTGATTTCCCTCCCACCTCCAGAGTTTGAATCATACCTTTTGGTCCCAATGGCATTGATTTCATCAATAAACACGATGGATGGTGAGTGTTCTTCAGCAACTCAAAATAATTCCCGGACAAGTTTGGGGCATGACCCACATCCTGAAAGAGTTCAGAGCCAACCACTCTCAAGAAGGTGGCCGAGGTTTGGTTTGCTGCTGCTTTGGCGAACAAGGTTTTACCTGTGCCCGGTGGATGGCAAAGAATGACTCCTTCAGGGAGCTTTATACACATCTCATAGTGTTCAGCATGGGTGAGAGGAAGCCCCACAGAATCCTTATTTCCTGGATTTGGCTGTCCAACCCACCACTGTCAGCACAGGTTTCCTGGGGGCCTTTTCCACCGTCATCACTGTGTCACCCATCAGCGCCCATCATGGAAGCACCTTACGGTTGGGCAGGCCTGAGCAGCCTGGTTCCAGCAGACCCTCGCCCACGTGCAGAAGGATGCTGACGATGGCATGACTGTCATTGATGGTCTCTTCCAAGGCTCCTACCGACCTTGGGGTCCCCCTCAGATCATCCTCCTTTGACCTTTCCTCCTCTTTTCTTCTCATGGTTTCATTTGTTCCTGATTCCTAATAAATTCTTCCTCCGTGAGAAGACAGTCTTTAGTCCTCTCTAACTTGAGTAGTTTACGCGGCACCAAGTGTGCGCTGTCCCCAGTGGCAGTTTGTCAGCAGCATCTGGCCCCTTTGTTTTCTTCTTCTTCCTTCCCGCTCGAGTTGGTACAGGAGGTTCAGATTTCTTTTCCAAGGCAGGCAGCGGCACCACTGAGCGAAATCTCCGGCCCTAATATTTCTCTTTCTTGTCCTTGTCATCCTTACTACCCCTAGGACCATGACCACCACTCTGACTTTGACCCCAGTTCCTCGAGGAGCTGCCCGTGCTGGCGTGTGGAGCCGAGGCTGGTGGAGCAGCAAAGCTGGTGAAGTGGCAGGATTTCCCTTCGCCCTCTCGGGGACCCTCCACGCTGAGCCCCCCGCCAGGCCAGTGGGTCGGACTTGAGCGCTTTCTCTGGGAGCCTCCATGGGCTGGGAAGGCTGGGCCCATGAGAGCGGAGAGGGCTGCTGACTTCCTCTGACAGCGCCTAGTTTTCTCGCTACGGGCCGCTCCGACCACTCAGGACCTCGGCCAGCAGCCGAAAACCTGTCACTCACCACCTTCCTCCTCCTTGCTCTTCCTCAGTGACATTCGCTGGGCTGAGGAGGGCGGCTCACGGTGATGGGACAGCACAGTTTTCTGACGCCCAGGGAGACCCACAGCCTGACTGTTTTCAAAACTAACCAACAGTTTATAATAAGTTAAGGAAATGAGCTTACTTCTTAAAAAATTACCTCAGAAGACCAGGAAGATACATATAATTCAGAGAATTTATTATCACATTCGCTTTGTCAACCAATTTTCTAATCTTCTCTTCCAGTATTGCTGCTACCATCTATTTTATACTTCAAACATACCCAGTGATTTATTTCCTTCAATGCCACTAAATTAGTTCAGGGTAATGAATCAGTTATACACTAAAACCTGCAGATCTTTGCGTTCTTGCTCTACTTGCCCCACTGAACTCCCCCTTTCTCTCAATACCCTACCCATTCTTCAAGGACAACTCCAATGCCTCTTCCTCCTCCAGCTCCCCCGACTGCTCCTCCTCTGCCGTCCCAGCACCAACAATGGCATTCGCAACTCAGATCACAGCCTGTGCTTTCATGCCTCCCACTGCAGGCAGTACCATGTCTGCTGAACTAAGCTCTTCTTCTAAGTTACTCCAAAAAAGTAAAGGGATGAGGTAAAATAGGCTTTATTTTCCAGAGGGTGCCTGTACTCACTGATGTCAGAATGAGGGCTTATAAAGATTAGGACTAAACCCTGAGAAAGACAATTATTTCCTGGAATCAGACAAATATAGTTCAGAGGCTGTCAGGACCAAAACAGATGAATGGCACTTGTCAACCAGAACTTTCTTACTCGTGAATTGCACACAAAATGTTCAAAATAGGTTATAATCTGTACTTAGGTATGCAGCTCCATCACTGATGCTTTGCAAAAAGCCAAGGGCCTTGGTTTCGGCAAAGTTCAAACATTAGCATCATTTAAACTAAGGCCCTCAGTACTTACTATTGAGAACTCTGCCCTTCCGAAGCGTGAAAGTAATGTAAGTATTAGCCACATAGCCGCGTAACTAGTCTGGTGAACGTGCGCATGGCGTCACGCAGCACTGGGTCCTACCTGGGGCCTCTAGAAGACCACGTGTATTGATTCGCAGGTAACTTCTCCCTCAGGGAGTACTCCGCAACCATCATATCAGGAGAAACGTAAGCACCGACACCTGTAGGGCACATCTGTCATTAACAGAAGGACACAAAATAGACCTACTGGATCCTAATTCTCCCAAGGAAATTCCACTGTTCATATGGGTAAACTGCTGAGTATTTACACCAGTTCTTTCGTGTACAATGGAAAGATAAAAATAACTAACGTCAGGATTCTTACATGGGTGACATAACAATCTACCAAGAAGCACGCATCTGTACTTCCGCTACACCACTTATTCCAGTCTTCTTTAAATTACAGTAAATTGTACATACGTTGGTTCTCCATGCTAGACTTTGTATTAATGATCAGTAGTGTACTGCACATAGGAGTAATACAGTTAGCATGTGATTGTGGCCTTTTTTTGGTTTCTTTCTTTTTAAACGTATTTTTAAAACAGGAAACTAACCTATCACACTTGATGTAGTTCCACCTGGACATCCCACTGTAGAAAGACACGGACCATTATTTCCAGCACTTGAAACATAAATTATATTATGCTTCCATACTGCTTCATTAATTACTTCACAAATTCTCCTGGAAAAGATTATTCCTTTGAGTAAATAAAATGGTCTTGTTTTTACTTACAGAAAAACAAATTACAATACAGGTTTCAAACTGCAGAACTGAAACAGTAGGCACATGTGAGGGGTGAGCATGAGAAGCACTCAGCGCTTTCTCCACTATCAGTGCTCAGTCACTACTCCCCGAGGCAGTCACTTTTTGGTGGGACACTATATAACCGTTCCAGGTGACATACTCCAGTCGGGCTGAGTGTAGAGAGGAGTCATGAAGCCAGATTAAATACGTAAAAAATGTACTAAATACTAGCACTAAAAATATTAGTACTAAATACCAGTACCAAAATATTGGCAGTGATTGGGCATCTTTGGCGGCAAAGATAAAGAGGTAATAAGACACTAGAAAGAATACAGGATTTTAAGATGTAAGAAATCTGGTTAAAGGCTAGGGATATAGCTGAGTGGTAGAGCACTTGCTGACATTAATGAAAAGAGATGAGAATGGAGTTAATACAATAAATCACAGGACCAAATGGCCCTCCACAGCCCTAAGTGTGAATATTTGGGCAAAGAAAGAATACTAGGGGAAGATGAATTTAAAAGGATAAAAGTAAAAGGAGAAAAAGAAATATACTTAGGCGAAAAAGGCAATAAGGCAAAAAGAGAAGGGGCAAGACTGCATTAAAGAAAGCAATGACTGAAGAACCACTGGGTGCATGTTACAAGGGCAGTAATATCTCACAAGAAGCCTTGTACCAGTTATTTGAAAAAATTAAATCTGAACAGCAAACTACAGTGTAGCTTGGCAAAATTTCCATCTTTTTTTTTTTGATGGTAGTGGGGACAGAAGTTTGGCACTGAGCTATATCCCTGGGCCTTTTATTTTTATTTTAAAACAGGGTCTTGCTAAGTCCCTAAGCCACTCAAATTTGCAATCTTCCCACCTCAGCCTGCCAGAGTGCTGGGATTAAAGGCTGTGCCACCATACCCAGCTAAAATTTCCATCTCAGAAGAGCTTTATTAAACTGCTTCAGAAACAGATGACTGGTATGTTTTAATGGCCTGGTGGTGGGAGCAGGGGAGAGATTGCAAAAAGTTAGTATCTGAAATAAAGTAACTTCAAATAGTTATTATTATGAAGCAAAAGAGGTCTGTGATATCAGGTCAAGGCCACAACACTGGATCTGGAGTAAAAGACACTGATGACACAGAGAGGAGGGGTATAGGGGTGTGAGACACACTGCAATGGACCAGGGAGACAAGGAAGCCGAACAAGCGGAGACAGGGAATACACACAACCAACAGCAGTTTTGCAGGTCAGACGTCACCGAAGGGAACAGCATGCTTTCAGCAGGTCTGGGGTCTGTACCCTACGGACCACTGAAGGAAGGTTCCGGTACTTGTGCAATGTTGTAACAGACTGTCCCCTGGCTCTAAAAGGGGTGACAAATGAGGATGTAGTAAAGCCAGTAATGAAAACCATTAGAGAGCTGGAAGGTTGCAAGTCTCAGAAGGGCAACTGGTGGGCTATCCCAGCCCCACAGGAGTACAAGGAATTGTGGCTCGGGCATGGAGTGACACTGGGGCTGACAGCGAAGAGGAGACTGGGCGTGGGGCCGAGGCCTAGGAGACACACAGTCACCACATAACCAGCACAACCACTGTTTTTCCACTGTAATGCTCAATTCGGTCATTTAAAATACTTTAAATTTAAAATATTTTATAGTTTTCACCAGATAACAGTCTATACCTAACAACTGTCAAGAATACATACCCAGAATTTGGCCAGTGAGTTGCTTCTCCATAGCTGTAGTTGACGAGATCACACTTATGATTTATAACTTCTATCATCTATTAAAAAGATTCAGAGTCTAGATTAGGCAGCAATTTATAGGAACAGACTCGCTAGCAAAACAAAGGTTTCCAATCCTTATAGTTTCTTGATCAATTTTATTCTAATTTATCAGTTACTTTCAAGCATAAGGAATTAAAAAATAACAGATAGGAGAAGACACACAGTATAGTAAGCAGCCAATATAAAAAAATAAAATACAACTAGTATTTTTAGAATGAAGTGTGATTACTGGAAAAGTGCAGGCAACAGAATGGTCCCTACTAGAATTTAAAATTACCAAGGTTATATATTGAAATAAAGTGTACAGCATTAGTTGAGGTTTTAAATTCCTTTCTGGCTGATGGAGCAGCTGGTTGTCTTTAAGTATCTTAAAATTTCTTGCCAGAGAATTTTGTAGAAATGATGACTAAAAGTATTTTTTTTATAAAGATTTAAGGCAAAAATCTTTTTGCTAAACATTTTAATAGAAATCATTTTAAAATGAAATGAGTATTTTTGTTTTTTAAAACAAAGTCCCGTACACGAAATATAGTTGCACATACTCTTGGTATATCAGAAGCACTTACTAGTCACTGCAAATCCACAGCTCATAAATACTCACAGCTCTTATGAGGCCTGTGCCTGTCTCCATTGTGCTCAGTCTTGTATCCCCAATCTTGATTGAGAGGATTTGAGCACCAGGAGCTACTCCATTCCGTTCAGGTTCATCTGGAAAATGCCCAGCAGCTATACTGGCCACGTGTGTACCATGAGCTCCTAGATGCAAAAAGGGGGAAAATGACACGAAATTCTCATATATGAACAATTTTACCATCAAATTCAATTTGTGTCTTACCATGGTAAAAATAATCAAATAAAAATATGCCCTAATCTATGTAGCTAATGATACATTATTTTAACCCTACTGCCACAGTCCACAAAAAACCTTAAAATTACACACAGTTCTACTAACCCGAATTCTACTCTACATGGGGAGCAAAAGTGAAAGTCACGAAGGAGATAAAGTATTTGCAACGCATATAAATGACAAAGAGCTTCTACCCAGAATATATAATCTTTCAAATAAAATAAAGGTGCACGAGAGAAACCCTTTTGCCCTGCAATGGGTAAACATCTGAAAAAGCACTTCATAAGAGATGATATGCAGATGGCAAATGAGCATATTCAAAGATTTCAATTTTATTAGTCATCCAAGAATTGCAAATTACAGTCACAACAATTTGCCTCTACATGCATTTCAGGAAGGCTACAATTTTAAAGGCTGACAACAGCAAGCACAGTCAGGGTGTGTATTGTACACTGCTGGTGGAACAAAAGCCACATGAAGGCACACACAATGATCCAGCAACTCTGCCTTTAGCTCCATATGCAGCAGAAATGCTTGCACGTGTACTGTGCACGAAGACATCCACAAAAATGCTCATCACAGCATTACCTGTAGAGTTCAACCTAAAACAACTTCAAGCTCTGTTAATGATAAATGGATGTATTCTCTATCAAGTCATAGAACTGCATTTATATAGCAATAAATATGAACTGCTTCCACACATTATGTGATGCTCCAAAAAGAAGCTTGAACTAAGATCCCACAGGAAAGAACCACATTGAGTTAATCCTATTTATATCAACGGGAAAAGGCTGAAACACGTGAAATTACCACTATTTTATCATTTCACATCTACAAAACCAACACCACATGACCTGAATCGTGTGGCAATGAAAATGAGGAGAGCGGTGCATTTTAGCAGCGGTGCTTGGGGGTGTTAAGATTAGTGAGTAGCAGGAAGTAAGATGGGGCCAGTGCGCTCCAGAGCACACGCTGATTTGGCACTGTCCGACTTCTGGCTCTTCCTCAAAGTCAAAATATCCATGAAAGGTAAATGTTTTGAACTGATTGAGGCATTGAGGTAGCCACAACAGTGCCACTAAAGACACTCAGCATGCCGGGCTTGGACCCCACACTTCTAATGCCAGCATTCTGCACAGCTGGGGCAGGAGGACGTCAAGTTGGAGCCCAGCCTGGGAGACTTAGTGAGGCCCTGTCTCAAAAAATAGAGCAGGGCTGGAGATGGAGTTCAGTGTGAAGGCCCTAGGGTCAGTCCTCTGTACCATCCAAAAAAAAGACAACAGAGAAAGAGGACTTCCAGAACTGCTTTAGGAAGTGGCGAGAAGGATGTGCTAAGTGCGTCTGGGGGTAGGGGTTTCCTGATGGGGCTTAAAGGCAATGTGCCTTTTTCTGCAATGAATTTTTAAAAACTGAAACACTGTATTTTTCAATCACAGCTTGTCTGCTATATATATATACACATATATATATATATATATATATATATATGTCAATGAAGTAAAACAAAACCAAAAATCTATAGACTTTTAAAAACTTTTTCAAGTTTCTAAAAAGATAGTAGAGAAACAGCCTGTTACTACTGGAAAAGCAATACACAAGCAATGATAAATGACAACAGGCGCTAGGCCTGAGTGTCTGGACAGTGGACAGCTGGAACTCCAGAAGTGAGGCACATGACCCTTCAAAGTGGCTCTGCCACAGTGCTGAGAATCCTCTGCCCCAGCCAACTGCTGTCATGCAAGAAAATATACACCCAATGTTGCCAAGTGTGCCTTCCTTACTTTTGTCCAATAAAAACAGGAAAGCAACACTTTAATGTACTCCCTCCCAGAACAGCTTGTCACCACCACACCAGGCAGTGCTCACAGTAAACCACCATGCACTGGCAGGATGTGCAGCACGTGGAATTTTCATACACTGCTGCTGAGAGCACAGGAGGAAAACTGCTCGTCAATGTAAAAAGCATCAAACATATATTTAAACAAAATACACAAAAACTCTGTTTGCCCAGCATCCCCCTGAAGCCTCATGTGATCACAGGTGGGATCCCCAGAAGGGGCCTGGACAGAGGAGGCGGCCACTGTGGGTGTGACCCACAAGCTGCATCTCCCTTCCTGTGCCTCCCTTGGCCTGCGCTGGGAGCAGCTGTCCCCTGCTGAGCCCTTCTTTTGCCCGCGCTGCTCTGCCTCGTAGACAGCCAACTATGGGCTGAACCATGAGCCAAAACAAACCTCTCCCCCTTTCAGTCAGAGGTGTTGGGTGTCTTGTCTCAGGGACGAGTAAAGTGACAGACACAAGCACAGGTTTGTACACAATTGTCGAGACAATCTAAGTATCAAGCAGCGGGTGAATGGATAAACAAGCTGTGGCGGAATTGTCTGATGAAACACTACTTGGCAATGGGGAGCCAACTGTTTACAGTCACAGCAGGAATGAAATGAAGCAGGCAACGTCCCTCGTACTTCTCATTCCACTTGGGTAAAATTCCAGAAAACCCCCAGCAACCTAGGGTGACCAAAAATGTATCAGTGGCTGCTGGGATGTGGGCAGCCAGGCCGGAGCACAGAGGGAGACAACGCGCAGCTGGAGTGACAGGTCTGGCTGCTACGGTGCTCAGCCCACCGGCCTACCGCACCCCACTGCAGCTCCGCCCCGGTGGGGGGCGTGGCCAGAGGCAAAGCCCCTCACTTCACGGCCCTCTCCCTGCACGAAGCAACCCCCTACCGGAAGCTACTGGCGTAATCTATCTGAGTTTAATTTTCACCGTACAAACACAGTCAGTACACTGCAAACTTTACACAAATGTTCTGCCATCAATATATTTTTCATTAAAACTTAGGTATTTTGAAATTTATGTAGATTTATTACTTTTGGTTGCTGTACAATATTTCACAACATGACGAACACATAATTTTTAAAAATTTATGTTTTTGGAAATGAATATTTAGATAGTTTCTAATCTTTTGAAGTTACACAGAATGCTGTGGTGAGGACGGTTTTACTCGGGGTGAACGATTGCTTCTCATTAGTAAATCTGAAACAGAATACCTCCACTGGTCACAATGGAGAGCAGGTTTCCATCCTCATAAATATTAACAGAGTAGTTCAACATCTCGGCTGTGCCAAAGGAGCCGTACTCTTCGGCCTCCTTGTAGCTTCTTAGTGCAGGACATTTACTCAAGTCCCCATCCTCATTTGAATCAATGCAAGCTCTGTCAATTGAGAAGAAACAGCAGGCATCAAACTCTATCCATTTTCTCACCTTCCTAAGATCGTACATGACTGCTTCGCAGTTGTCTCCTCACTACTTGCTACGGCTTAGATCTAGAATGCCCCCAAAGTCTCGGGCGTGTAGAGCGTGGCCGGCTCAGGGGGTGCTGGGCTCCTGGGTGGACTCGTCCAGGAGGCGGCGGCCAGCAGCTGAACGCTCGTCCCAAGGTGGGGCCCAGGGGAAGATGGTCCGGGGGGCGTGACTTGGAAGGGCGCCCCCCCCCTTCCCTGCCGCCACGGCATGCGCAGCCTGCCCGTGTGCCCTTCTGTAGGAGTCGGCTGACCATGGAAGGAAGCTGGGAGCCAAAGTAAATTCCCCTCCTGTAGGTCGTGGGTGTTGGGTACTGTGAACCAGCAATGGGCAAGTGACTACGAAGGACACTTCCCCAGGACTCTGCGTCTACCACACAAGTATAGGGGCAAGGCTCCTGTTTCAGGCAGCAGCGAAGCTTAGGGCTTAGGGCTTAGGACGGGCGGGTGGCCCCGAGGAACCAGTGCTTTACAATGCAGCTGAAATTCCACAGGGCCCTCACTATGAGGGAGACCGCACTTCGCTCCCTACCCCTCCTTCACACTCAACGGCCACATCACGCTTCCTCTAACGACCCCTGGTCTCTTCTCTCCACTCCCAAAGCCTTTCCTACCCTCTCTTCTGAGTTAACTGTGTTATCATTCAGGCTCTAACATGTTGCTTCTGGCAATCCTTCTTACTGCTTCCTAGATTGGTTCCGTGTACCCAATTCGAGCTTTCACAGAACCCAGAATACAGCAAATAGCCTCGACATGGTCCACCTGGTGCAAAGAAGGGGCTCAATAAACTTTCGCTAAATGAAGAATAAATCAACATTTGTAACAACACTTTCACAGCACACTGTTACACATTTCCTAGGTCAGTGTTCTATCAGCAGCATCAACAGGAACTGACTCAACAACCCAAGCATCCCATCAAAATGTAATTACTGACTTCACTAAGTAACCCAACAGAGGGTAAATACAGTAAGAACATGTTGCAAGATTATTAACTTTCTGAAGGTCTAGTTGGCTTAATTCAACCAGTAGTTATTGGAATCCAGAGAAAAGAAACAAAAAAGTGAAGTCAGCACGCAGAGTACATGTGTAAGACTGAGAAGAGGCTTAGGTTTGGTACATTCCTCTACATTTTCCACATATTGCTTTGGTAATTTTCTATGGAGTGAATCCTCTGCTTTCAGAAAGAATCTCAAAGGAGACACAGTAAGAACAAAAATCCTTAACAAGAAAACAACAGTCTTTTCTTTCTGTAATCTTCTGTAAATATTGTTTCAACCAGTTTTTGATGCATTTTGAGTGACAGTCAATTTAACACTTTATATCCTGACAAACACTCAAAGGCGAGCAAAGTACTAGGTCACCTGCTAAGTGTAGAGACAGATTTAACAGTCAGAAATGGGATGGTCTTTATAAAAAGGAAGAACCATGGTACTTGAACGATACATCACTTTACTTGCCCTCAGAAATGCTGACATTTTTGCAATGAGAAACAGAACATCTGCAGATAGCACCTAAATTTGCCTTAGATACTTTGGGATTTTCACAGTTCTCTTCAAAAAAATTTGGATCTCAGGTCAAAGTTCTACAGGACATACTGTGTTATGCAAAAAAGGCTAAATTGCTTCTCATAGTATCCAAAAGCATAATTCTGCTGTGTCTTTCACTGATTATAATAAAAATTTCTACAATGTTCTTCTGGGATTTCAGATTTTATTTCATTTAATGTTTGATTAAATTTCATTCCAATACAAAAGTTCCAAAAGAAATCTTAGAATAGTTGTCTATGAACTACTACAAGTGAACCACTTTGCAGTATTCAGAGCCTGTAGGAAACATTTTAAATGGCAACCTGTGGCCTCACCGGTGGCACAGCTGCTGGTTACACTGAAGTCTTTCTGCGGGACACTCAGTTCTGTGTTTGGCACTTTCCTCACATCTAACCTCGCCTCTTCTCCCACACTAAACTCACCTGAGGTTGACCAATGGGGGTAATGTGTTACACCAAGTGGTGAATGTATTAAGATTTATAAAATAGACATGTGAACGGCTTTCTGTTATTATAAAGACTGTGATCAAAACTCTCTCTAGAAATCTTTTGGGAAAAAAATATCAACATGTGTGTACACCTGCACACATGCAAAGCAAAGCATTTTTGAACACACAGAACTGCTTTAGTACTCGGTATCATGTGGGCTGGAACAAGCATACACAGATACTTTATTAGCACGTCAGTCCCAAAGGGAACAGAGATTTCTCACTAAGTGGAAAACTTTGTGTAATCACAATCAGGGATGAACTGGTCCTTGTACAAGGGGAAGCAAAGCCCTCCTCTGTGAGCACTGTGAAGAGCAGTAATTCTGCAGGTGTGCATATTACACATATGCCCCATCTCATGAAACCTTCACATATGAGCAGGCGCTCAAGGAACAGTTCCTGCTTACTGAAAGAACCCTACAACACACGTATAGCTGAGTATCTGTGTTGAGAACATATTTCTGTATTCATGAAGATGGCAATCTGGGAAACACGAGCTGATTCCAAGAAGCATGTGTGCAGTGCATGCTCTCCGCTTCCCAGACGCTGGGATGTTACATGTAAATCACATGAGCAGTCATAGGAGCAGAAATAGGAAAGCCACATTTACTGAGTGCTTATTACGCCCAGAAACACTGAATTTAATGTTTACAAAACATTTCCTCATCCTAAAGAAGAGACTAGGAAACAGGCCCAGAAAGGTTTAAATAACGTGCTCGGGTGCAGAGCTAGGGTTCCAACTCCAGCCTGAGCTCTCTTGGTCACGGTCTTATGATGCCTCGTGTAACCAGTGACTGTGTCTGTATTTAAAATGTCTTCTCCCCCCAACTCTCCTCCTCTACTCTTAAGAATTTACAGTAAGTGCCGTGTAACATTTCCTTGCAGATACTTTCCAACTGTCCAGCTTTAATTTGGAGTATTTTCACCCCACTGGTTAATGAAATAACCAATAGTTATTTCAAAGTTTCTGTAAAATAAATAAAGGTCATGCTTAGTGTAAAGAACACCAGTCTTTATTACCAAGAAATCAAAAGGCTTATCCAAAACTCCCAAAAGCTGACTTGGGTCTCAGATTGTTTCACTGAGTGATAAAGAGCTCCATTCAGCTCTAAAGGTTCAATGTGCTTTAGAGTAAGTAAAAACATCTGAAATGAAGAAGATCCACAAAGTACATAAACTGTACCTCCAGGCTTCTCCATCATGCCATACTATGCAGTCATACACAGGGCCGGGGTCACTATATTTTTTCTCAAAAGAATTTAGCAATTCCACTTGACTTTGAAGCTCCTCCTTGATTAGTTTATTTGCCTAATCAGTTAGAAAACAGATTGATATTAGCACATTTTATACTTAAGAACAGTGTATTCTTATATACAAAGATACACAGCTAACCTATAGTAAAATGTTTCACAATGGAAAAATACAAAGAAATCTGTATCTATGCAATTTGTACTTCAGGTCAATAAACAGATACTAATAAACATTTTAAAATTCTTTTAATCAATCTATCACTCCATCTGTTTTATAAAAGACATTGGATACATGCTGGTGATAACATGTGGCCAGGACATGTTGGTGTCAGCTATGTAACTCATTTCAAAAAAAGAATTTTAAAAATAAAATTTCTATACCTTTGACTTTTAAGATTTCTGTAACAGGATCTGCTCTATCTCATACACAGTATATTTCTTAAAAATCCAGATAAATAATAAAAACATGAATCATCTTATTGCTTTAAAAATTTTTCTAAGTTAAACATACAGATTTAATAAGGCAAGCTAAACTTTATTTCAGCTCTGTAGTCATGAGTAGTGAATACTTTAGAATACATTATGTAAAAACTCGATGACAACTGGCATTATTATGTGTGACCCCTCCAAAACGTCTCAAATCTAGAATATCAAACTAGATATGTATCCAAATAATTAGGAAAAGACAGGTTAAAATAAAACATAAACTGGGAGATATAAAAGCATGTAAGTACTGAAACTGAGGCAAATACATTAAACTTCATCAAAAACGTGCAATTACAGTTTAAGAAAACTATAAATAAACAAAAAAAATACCTCAACTCACTATATAATTACAGTATGAAGATCCAGCAGGGGTTGACAATCACAGTGCGTGGGTCAAATCCACCCTGTGACATGGGTGTGTCAATAGTTTTACTGGAATACAGCTCTGCTCAATCATAGGCCCCCTCACATACTGCCTGTCTTCGTGACAGAAAGGTAGACAGAGAATGCTGAAAATACGCACCATCTGACCATTTATAAAGTTCCACCTCTGACCAAGAGCATTCCTAGCGCTCAAAGTCAATTTGCTTTCTATAAATAGTGTGCTACAGAGATTGTCCTAAAGCCAAGAGGTGTGGATCCAATCCCCTTCAGTCCTGCCACTTACTAGCTACACACTCTTCAGCAAGCTACCTGTCCTCATAAAAACCCGCTGAGGCCAGTGGAAAATGGTGGGACAGGAAATGATTATTTTGGCCAGTAGTTACCAAACTTTATTCCAAGACAGATTCCAGCCTATTTATTAAATCAGTGCACTAGGGGATGAAGCCAAAAATTCTGAATTGTATTTTGAAGCTCCCTAGTTGATTTGGAAACAAGCAGCCCAGCATCCTAGCATCTGGGAAGAAAAGAGCACACTGTCGAAGTTTGAAAACAAGGCACATGCTGAATACGTTAACTGAGAAAGGAAGTGTCTGAGGCCTCATGGAAAAGGAAATGATCATGTAAGACAGTAGGCTGAATCATGTGAAATCCCTGCTAGCTAGCCATTCTGATATACAAAAATGGCAAGTTCATGTTCTGACCTAAGTTTTTTGTGATTACATACTGTATTGGTACCAGGGATGGAACTCAGGTCCTTGAGCTCCAGCAGCAGGCGGCGAAACCACTGAGCTAAATCCCTGACCAATTACATACTGTATTAAGGTTGCTCTATATTCACTTAAATACTCCTAGTAAATAAAATTTTGATTTTCATGTTTAAAAAATTCTAGTATGTTTAATTTTTATTTATTCAATATATCTACATTTATACCTCCTTAAAGGAAAACAGTCAATTACAGATATTTTGGCATGCAGAATGTAAAACAAATGGATGATGACAGCTAGGCCCCTCTTTTACAAAGTCAGTTGTATATATGCAGCATCTGAAGTTCTACATTGAATGTGTCTAACGATGAAAAGTTAAAGCACCAATGTTAATGTAACAGAAAAGTATACAAGTATTACAACAGATGTAAATTGGCCCTGGGTCCCCACTCCAGCTGAGCTTTAATTCAGCTCCTATGGTGGTTTGAAAGGTCTGCCCCCTCACAAGATTTGAATTTAATTCTCTCTCTAGGACACAAACACTGGCAGTTTTGAAAGCTCTTTATGTGATTCTAACAGAAAACAGAGTTCAAAATCACAAATATGAGTCCATGTTTTAAAGAAAAGGTACATGTATGCATTAAAAGAGAACTTCAGCAGGATAAGCACTCAGCTGTGGTGCTGTCTCTGGGGACAGCATTAGGGAGGCTTTTCTGTTGCTACTTTGCACGCTGTGTTGTGCAAAGGTGGGAGCTAGCACGTATTTTCAAGACAAACATTATTTTCATTTTAAAAATTGATTTTAAAAACTTAATGGGCAAGGATGTAGAAGAATGGGTACTGTGACATACTGCTTGAGGGAATATAAATTAGTACAATTGCTTTATAACCCATCAAAAAGACATAGCCAAGAACATTTAAAATTGCATTGTTCTCAAGAGTCAAAAGGCAAAAATAAAGCAAGCAGCAATCTGCGAAATGGATAAATTACAGTGTACTCAGAAGAGACTATCACAGAGCAATGAATGTCAACACCTATAACAGATGAGTATCATAACATGATAAGCAAAAAAAGCTCTGCATAAAAGATGACATCTTGTACTATTTCATTTTACAAAATTCAAAATAGAAAAAAATCATTCTATTGTGTTAAAAGTGGCTGCCTTTGTGGAGGAGGAAGAGAGCAGTGACTAGCAAGAGAGATTCCCGGGGTGGCTTATGTGAGAGAATTCACAACTATACAGTTATAACTCACGCGCTTTCACTTACAGGTATTATATGCTGAATAAGAAGTTTTAAAATGCAGAAATACATATGCAAGTTTCCTTCAGCATAAACAATAAGGGAGGCTGGGGATTTAGCTTAGTGGTTTCGCCGCCTGCTGCGCAAGTGCAAGGACCCGAGTTTGATCCCCAGTACCAAAAAAAAAAAAAAAAGAATAAACAATAAGGGAAAACTGGTAAAAAATTACTACACTTAGAAGAAAACTGAGAACAAAGAAAACATGTGAAAGCTCAGCCTACTCACTCCCTAAGACATCTAAGTAACATGGTTCCAGGACAAAGTCTAAATAAAAGTAACTAGCACCAACTTGAGAAGAGCCGTTGTTGGCAACATCAAATTCTTCCTGTTTTCTACAGGCTTCTGCAAGGGCCACTCTGTGAATGGGATCCCAAATTTTTTCCTTTCGTTCTTTCTGCAAAGACAAAAAAATTACAATTAGGCTGACAAATAGTTTGGTAAACCAGAAGTCATTTATATGTGAACCTTTTCAGCAGTTGTGATGTTACGAGGTTCTCATACAAAGGTTTAAAAAAATAATTTCTAAGGAAGTTAATAAATTAATGATCAATTATTAAAAATGACTTAACGCATTACAATTAGGATTAAGAGAACAAGTTTGCCAGGACACACCAAAATATATTTTATAATCCTATTCTCCAATTTAAATTCTCCCTTTCTCCAACAATTTATAGTCCACATTAGAAAACTGACTGAATTCCCAGTCATTTAAAGAAATTACTGTGTCCCACACAAAATTAGGAAAGGCTGTAAGGCAAGTGCAAGCAGAGGACTAGACGACAACTGTAGCTGCATTCTGATGGAGTGCAGGCTTCCTCAATTTCCTTCCTCTCTAGTTTTGCTTTTTTTGTTTCCAGCCTCTTTTGCTGGACATGGTTTTGTTACTGAAATTGGCCTTAACCTTTGTCTCCAGTACCTTTAACATACAATGTCTCCCAACAGAAGTTTGCTAGTTAAACATTTTTTTTTGCAGTAAAATAACTGACTTGGTGAAGTTAAAGGAAGGGTTCAGTTTAACGTAACCACTCTATATTTCATGTTAATTTGTACTTCATCAACATAATTAGATTTAACATCAAGTGGCATATCTATGCATTTTAGCCTGAAATTTTAAAATAAAATAGTATTCGATCAAGGTTGTGTGCCTTCGAGTAACTTCCAGTTCACAGACGTGGTAGGAAGCAAGAAACAACACTGTGATGTGATAAAACGGCTACAAGTCTTATTCATTAGGATCATTTCCAAAGATTAATCTTGTTTCACAGTTGAAACTCTGGACTTGTATCAACTAGTAGGGTCAGAGCAGTCTTCTAAACTGGCACTGTCCAATATGGCAGTCACCAGCCACAAGTTATTTAAATTTTGAAATAGTACATAAAATTAAAATCCGAACTCCTCGGACAAAGTAGCCACAGTTCAAATCTCAGAAGCCGCCGTGGCTAGCGGCCCCTAACAGGCAGGGCAGAAACCAAGCTCTTCCTTCCAACCTTTCCACCCTCACAGGAAGTCCCAGCCAACAGCTCCACTAAAGCAGACCCCTCGCCACTCTACAGCTCCTCCTCCGTCAGACTGTGCTTCTCATACCTGTGCTTCAGGCTTCGGCTGTGAGCGACCCTTTCCTGAATCCTGAATGATGATTAACGGGAAGCAAGAAGGCCAGCGAACAGTCAGAAAACCAGCAAATTACAGAAACCACAGGAACAGACAAAACTAAAGAGGTCTGGACTTCAACTGTCTTTAACCTTTTCAAGTAAAAATGTCCTCAAAAATCGAATGAAATCTCTCCAGCATCTCCCAGAAAAACAAATGCACAAAATTGGAAGTAATTTCCATGTATCCAGGTTCCCTAAGCTGATCCTGCACATGCACCCAAGATCAAAAACCACTACTTTAAGTGGATAACAATCCACTGAACAGAACCTTTAGTCATTTTTCAAAAGCTACCCAGCTCCCCCTCCCAAATAAGTAATGGTTAGAGTTTAAGAATTTTTTTCCCCTTTGGTAGGAATAAAATCTGAGAAAGATATATACGTCACTGATACCAGGTTGTACATTACCTGTATCCTTTCTTTGAGAGCTTTTGGGTAGAAGTCATAGCCATTTTTTATGCCAATATGATATTTGCCTGAAGGATTTGTCCAGCTTGCAGGAATCTGTAAAAAAAAAAAAAGGTAAACTGTTTACTCACTAAATGCTTCCCAATGTCAATGATACATCACTGAGGGAAAGTGTACTTTACATCTACTCTAACAGCACTCATTGGATAAGCAAGCTAATGTATTAAAGAAATACATTAATACTCTTCAGTAGTCACTGATTATTTCTGTGGCCTTTTTTCACATCAAGAAATAAGATGTTTCAACTACAATTCCTTTCATTTATACAGTGCTTCAACAAGTGTTTTCAAAATACACTACTTCATTAAAATACAAAGACTATTACTAGCTTTTGAACAACACGACACCTGCTGTCTTCCTTCATCACTGTCCTAGTGCATCAAATACTGGGTAGGGAGACAATTTACAGAACCTTCTACATTCTCAGATTTCCTGTTAAGAAAAATAATATGACTCTTCTCTACCACACCAGAGGGATGATGCATAGATACTACAAAAAAATCTATAAAATCATACCATGTATATAGAAAATCAACTGTATATGCTCTATCTCACAGTATTACAAAGAACATAAAGCTTTCGAATCTGAACAAAAGGAAGGACAAAAACTGAAATATAGTTCAATCAAGAAGACCAAACAATATTCAATGCAAATGTATGGGATATAAAGTCAGACAAATGTGGCTGTGAATGTAAACTCTTACCACTACCATAGGCTTACTACTTTTTTTATACAAGGAAGAGAAGAATCCCTACTTTATGATTATTACGAATAATGAAATGCACTGAGCATCAACCTAAAATGTCGAAAGGTAGATTATTCATATTGTTTGTAACCACAGGACGCTAATTATGAAAAGCAGCTTTGAAATATGAACAAATTACAAGGTTGAGCCATCAACCACTCCGAGCTGGCTGACTCATCAATCCTCACTCGTGCAGAATCTTTAACCCAACTCATTTATGTGTCCCTTGTCAATTATAGTCCTAGCAGAAAACTTCTGGGTGAAATTTTCTCACAATTTGTCTTAAGTATAGGAAAACAATCATTAAAGGCCTACATGTCATTAATCATTTCTGAATCAACTAGGTGTCTACGGAGTATGAAATTGCAAATACATTGACCTATAAACCAAAACTTTTTATTCAAAACTTATCAATCTTTAGAAAACAGATTCTTTAATGTTCTTGTTCAAAGCCCATAATATAACAAAAACAGTAAGAAAGTGCTGCATTAACAACAAATTAAGTAGTTACCAGCAGCCATCACTAGTATCTCACTACACACACAGCTCTGAAACCCTTGGCTCGTGGACTATATATCATAATGAAAACAATACCACAGACATAATTCATATTTATATTTAATTAGGAGAAAAAAGTCTGCAGGTTCCATGGAATTAGATATATCTCAAATTGCAGCTACGTATTTTTTTTAACATGAAGCCAAAATAGTTATAAAATTAGTCACAAAAAAATGAAAGAGTATGTTATAATCACAGTTATTCTATCTAACTTTAGCCATGTTAGATTAAAGCAAACTTTCTGAGGCAATTATGGAATATGTTATTTTGTATATCTGAGTTAGCCTATATAATTGAAGTTATTTTTGGTCTCTTTAAGAACCAAAGCTTGCATTTTGACCATTTTAAGCTGACATCTTTAAAATGGTTCAAATTACACAGTAAGCACAATGCAGTAAGACTGGTTTTCATATGACATACATAATTTCCTTAATAATTACACCTCATTTCTCCGATTCTCTTGAAGAGAATGGTACCTAATGGAGCATCTCTTTTAAAGAGCAAAGTGGCATCGTGAGTGCTGCTGTACCCTGCAGTGAAATCCTTGCCGAGGTTTTTGGCTTAGATGGTGTCAGCCCTGCAGCCTCTCCTGGCACACGCACACCACTCTCTCAGCTGCCGCCACCTCTAAACACTGTGCTAAATCTGCTATGCCACTCAGTATGCCTAGATTTACTGTTTTCATTTTTTAAAAAAATTTCAGGCTAAATATTGAGGATTGGAAAAATAACTTCAACTTAATTGTGGTAAGATCCTTTCTAAAATGCTACCAAAATTAAAATAACAGATGGAAGGAATCACCCGAAAACCTAAGAGGCAAAGAACAGGAAATGAGACTTTAGAACATCACCACATTTTGAAAGTTGCAAAGTACAAAGAAGAAACTAAGAATCAGTGAGGAGATGATGGAATATTAACATGTGGTGTTGAGACACTGACTGGGTCTTTTTATAGAAAAAAGGAAACAGGACTCTACTTCACATTGAGCATAAAACTCATTTCAGTCAAATTCTACAACAAATCTGAAGAGAATCACTGAAATTCTTTAGACATATAGGAGAATGTTTTCATGATCATGAGGTCAGAAATTTAAGACATTTTGAAGAAATATTCAACTAAATATAAGAACTTCCAGTCATCAAAATACATTATATGGAGAGAGAAAATATAAGTACAAAATGGAAGACGACACCTGTAACACATACAATGAAAGGGCAGGTAAACATTACATAGAGCCTATAAACTGGTATGAAAACAACAAACAACTCAGTAGCATTAAAAAAAAAAAAGGCAAATGAACATTAATCTCCACAAAGAGAAAACAGAAAAGTTTAAGTATATGAAAAGGTACCCAGTCTCATTAGTTATTAGGGAAATGCAAATTAAAAGCACAATGTGATACATCTAGACTCCAGCACATTTAAAAAATTTAGAGTCTGAAAAAACCAAGTGTCAGAAGGGTAAAACTGTTCGGCATGACCTAGTGACCTTATCTCCATGACTCAGCACTCAGCAATTCCACGGCTACACACGTCATGCATACGTGTATGTATGTATGTATGTATGTCATGTTTACTGATATTTTGGGGGCCCTTTAAAACAGCATCATAACCTTACAGTGAAACCCACCACCAAAAGACACTATCCCAACAGAGAAAGCTGAGAACTTCCAAATACTGTACTATCTCTAGTGCCCTGCTAAGCAAGAGAGAGTCTGAGATGACTGGACATCAAAGGAAAACATCTAAAGTGAAACACTAGGTTTAAGGAAAGAGAAAAGGAAGAAAGGATAGAAAAAGGGTGAAGAGGAAAGAGGGAGAGAGAGAAGGAAGAAAAAACAAGAGAAAGGGAAGAAGGGGAAAAGGGAAGCAGAAGAGGAAGCTAAGAAGGAATAGGAAGAATAGCAAGGTAAGAGAGGAGGAAGAGGAAGCTAGAAACAAAGAAATAGAAAAAAATTTAAGATAATTCATATTCCCAGAGATAAAATGTTATATACATGATACAAAAAAAAAGCCCTGAATGAACACGAAGAGGCTTTTGCAATTAAAAACAGGCAAAATTACAAAAAAGAACAGAGGGAAAACAAAGTTTTGTAAAGGGAGAGGGGAAGAAGGATTGAAGGGAAGTGAGAGGATCCGGGGGGGTGGACTAAGATACATTATTACAGGTACAAATCCCCTATGACTACGATCATTACAAATGTCAACAGTGTATCACTAAAATTAATTTTTTTTTTTTTTTTTTTTTTTTTTTTGTACCGGGGATCAAACTCGGATCCTTCCACTTGCAAGGCAGGCGGCGGAACCACTGAGCTAAATCCCCGGCCTAAAATTAATTTTTAAAGAATTTAATAAGAGTTAAAAGATAATGTTGAGAAAAATCTTTGGACTCTCTCAGTAAAGAAAAAAACCAGGAACCCCCCCCCCCAAAAACCCCAAAACCAGGTAGTTTTCAGGGTGATTTCAAAAATCACAAAACTGGAGAAAAGTCCAAGAGGCCCAATGACTAAGTTCAATGTCCAATTAACAGGAACCCAAGATCAGGAAACTATTCGAAAGACAATATAAGAAAATTTCTTGGAAATAAAGGATCTGAGAAATAAAACTTAATTTTACAATGTCTAAAACTAGAACAAAGTTGGCAAATAAAAAGTATTTGTATGCTGTTTAAAACTTTGAAGAAAATTTAATATAGTAAAGATTAGCCTGATGAAGCTGAAAGCAGCAGGGGACAGATCAAACGGGGCATTTGACTTTTCTTGTTTGAAGCCTTGTAGAAATACATGTCTTAAAATTATGCAATTATGAAAAGAATTAAAATTTAAAATTGCATTACATCAATGGGCTGAGAACACCAAACAACACAGCTAAAGAAATATGTTATCAAATACAGAAAAGATACAAGGGTAATTTTATCAATGTTCTGATCTTATTAAATAAGGACTGACATGATACATATAATTCTACCTTTGAGCACTAGTGACATCAGCTCACGCGGTTTATTTAAAGTATGGGTTACTATAGCTATCAAAATAAATGACTAGGAATACTTAACAATTTATATGGTTCTAAATCTGTAAGACTTACTAGGAATGCTCTCTAGTTCCTCAGAGTAACTTAATTCTCTCCAAACTAATTCTGATTATCGGTTTAAAAGATAGAATATCAACTCACAGTAAAATTCTTGCCATCCTCCATACTCACTAGCTACTATTTCATGAACCGTTCTATGCTTTCGTTATTTTTTTTTTTTTGGTACTGGGGATCGAAGTCGGGTCCTTGCACTTGCGCAGTAGGAGGTGAAACCACTGAGCTAAATCCCTGGCCCTCTATGCTTCTGTTATTATCATTGTTATGGCTTGTGTCTAGGTGTCCCCTAAAGCCTCATGTGGTCATAGGCGGGGCTTTTTCATAGGTGGCTGGATTTAGAGTGTGATGCTGGGACTGACTCATGGTGCAATGCTAGGATCAAAGGCCCTAGGATTAAGGGTATGAGTGCTACCTGTCCTAAGTAGCCTGGATAAGACAAGGGAAAGAGCTATGAAAGAGCTATGGTTGTCCCTTGGTGCTTTGCTACCTTCTGCCTGCCAGGAACTGTTTTTCCTCTTCGATGCCTCTCTGCCATGTGTCACCCTGACTTGGACCCAGCCTGCTATGGACTGAAACCTCTACAAACTGTGAGCTAACTAAACCTTTGTGCCTTTAACGTTGGGTGTCAGATTATTTTATCTCAGCAAGGAGAGAAAAGCAACTAAGACAATTATCATTTGCAGTATTAGAGATTGAGCCTGACCCCAGGGCCTCACACATGCCAGGCAAGTGTTCTACACTGAGCTACCGGCCCAGCGCTTTTGTAACTATTTTTTGTTTAGCTTAGCCAAGCCTTTCTATCAAAGACACCAGAATGAAACAAAGCCAGTCATTTCCATCAACAACCATTATGACCTAAATATTTCTTCATGGTCAAATTCACTGAAAATTATGATGGGACAGGAAACGCTAAAGTTAAAACTATATGTGATCACTTTCTCCAACTTTCTAAACAATCTCAATTCTAAGAACTTTATTAAACAATAAAACAACGGCTCCTTCTAAGATCACCTCAACGACCCACATCTTCTGGTATCTATGGTCTTACGAAGTCCTCCTCTCTTAAGTAGGTGCTAGATGTACTGACTCACTTCCAATGAGTATAATGAACAGGTGTAATGAAGTGATGGGTTGTTGTGTCCAGGATTATTTTGTAAGTGACGGGCTGTCTCTTTCACGATCGTGCGAAAAGACCATGCTTTCACCTTGGACACACCCTCTCCGACCACTCACCCTGAGTGTAAGAAGCACTGTGGAGAAGGCTCTGTGTCCTGCCTACACACTGAGCAAGTGTGGTGTGACGGTCAACGATTTGCAACTTCACGAGAAATCCAGAACTAGAGGAGCCTAAGTCAACTCAGATTTCTGACTCACAAAAACTCTGATGTAGTAACTTTTTTTGTTTTATTTTTTATTTTATTTTTTTGGTACCGGGGATCGAACTCAGGACCTTGCGCTTGCAAGGCAGGCGGCAGCACCACTGAGCTAAATCCCTGCCCAACTTTTTGTTGTTTTAAGCCATGAGGGTTCGGGGTACTTGTTATGCAGCAATAGGGTAACTACTATCCTGCTGCCAAACGTAAACTAAAACATCAGATGCTTTGAGGTAACAGTACAAAAAAAAAGAAAAAATTAGATAAAAGCTCCAACCTTAAGCACTCTTCCTGAAAGACCAATAATTTCACCGTCTTTGGGCTCTACTTCCGTAGCAGTATTCACATCGCCACTTCCTGTTGTATCAATGATATCAATGATTTTTGGTTTTCCGTCAGTTGTAACCTGAAAATTGAGACAATTAAAACATAAATTACACTTTTAAGTTTTATTCTTAAAGAAAGCAATGCATGCCCATATGTGTGTATGTGTATTGTATAAAATTTCCTACATTTAACAAGAAAACTGTACTGTTTTAAACCAAAAGCCTAACAAATACTAACAAAAAGTTTAGTCATGGAAATAACACAGAATCCTTCAAGTGGTTTCGTATGTTCTTTTAACAAACAATTATACCCTATTTTAGGTGTTAGGGATACAGCAGTGACCAGCACACAAAAATCTGACTTCACCTATCATATAGTGAGGAAGCAGTCAATAAATAAAATAGTAAAACACAGAAAGGACAATTAAGCAGGGATACGGCTGAGGTGGGCTTTCAATTTTAGCTGGTCAAGGAAGCCTTACTGAGGAGGTCTGAAGAAGGTGAGCTCTGGGCTGGATAAACACAAAACATTAGCAGACAAGTGTTTACTGTATTTCATTACCGGATACCACACTAGCACTGTGAATTTAACAGGTGCCCAGTTTAAACTTACTTATGTCCCCCAAAGCATTTTTCTCTGGGCTTTGCTGTCTCAAGAATCACCACACAGCCAGATGCTCAAGGCAGACACCGAAGTCCTTCTCTGACTGTAGTTTTACCTTGCAGCAAAGCCATCAGGAAGTCCTGCTAATGCTTCCTCTAAAACAAAGTTCAAACTCCTCATCTGTGATATTCACTAGCACCATGGCAATCCTCTAAAGCACTGGACTGGCATCTCTTGCCTCCACAACGCAGACCACCTCCTTGGAAGCGTTTCAGGGTACAATGCTGGCCCCTACCAAACGTGACACTAAAACAAGCTGTATGTTATCCATCTTCTTTAAGGCTTTCAGTGAATTCAAAGAGCACTTGAAATATAAAAAACCTTGCCAAGCCTGAGCCCGGCTGGTCACTCACGACTCTTAAACACGCTCATCTCCTTCCCGTTCCTAGAATACACCACACCTTTTCCTGCCTCATGCCTTTCTGTTCAGGGTCTTTCTGCCGGGAACTCTCCACCCCTTCAAGTGTTCCCCGGGATTCAGTCTTCTATTCCAGTTTCTAGCAAAGCCTCGCCCCTTCAGAAAGCCCTCCCCAGTGACTTCTTTCAGGTGGTCACCACCAGACTTGCCCACCCTTTCACTCTGCACCTCGTTTCCTTCTCAGAACATAATCCAGTTTGTAATTACACACTCTGGTGGTTTCTGTCAGTTTCTCCTCCATAAAGGCACAACTGTTTTATTCACTAATATACATCCAACACATAACAGTGCTTGCTAGGCACACAATAAACATTTATAAATTACTGAATGATCCAACACTCATTACTTAGCATTAACTCTAATTTTGGTAAGGTATGGTTTCTTGCCAGGCACCAATTTTTATTGGAGCCATCATATGACTGCTATGGGAAACAGCAGTACTGTATTTTCAAACTCTTTGCATGGGAAAAATCATCTCTGAGCTGGCTCTTTCTGGACTAGCTCTGCAAAGAGAGTTTGCTACAATCAAGATGTGTGTACGGAGGTGGCAGTCAGGAATTGGGCATAGACACCATCAGAAAAAGGAGGATTACTACCTCAGGAGACAGGGATGTAACAAATGCCGAGCATGTGACAGAAGCACAAAGCGTTCGGACCTCCACAGCACCCGGAGAACTCACAGGCTTTAAGACAATGCTCGATGTTCACTTCTGGGTCTTCCTGAGCAGCGCGCATCCCTTCCCAGTAGCAAGCATTTCTCTGCAGCATGCACAGAGCTCTGTATTCCAGACAGCCCGAGAAGTGAGAGCGGAGGGCTCCCTAGGTAAAGGAAGAAAACACCCTTCCTCCTTCACAAGGTACAGCCAGGTGGTGCAGCTGGTGGGCCACCCATCTCCCTCAGTCACGGTGCCACAGAACAGGGCTTGAGGGGCGTGGAGACCTCTGCGCACTTCACGAATGCTAATTCTTTAGTTAGCTGTTTATTTCTTGCTAGGAGTATATAATAGCAATAAGAATTCTGAAAAGTATGAAGGCTCAAAATTGCAATTAAAAAAACACTGAAAAGCATACCAAACTTTGGTAAAATTAATCACATACTGATTTTGAAAAGATAGGCTAAGTATCATCTCAACTAATAAAATAAAAAATAAAGTAGCAAAGAAAAATGTAAGAAAATCTACCAAAAAATGGAAATAAGTTAGAACTACCCCCTAAATAAAACTAGGTAGATCATGTATTAATATAATGTATTTTAAAATAAGTATGTCATATGAAAGGTACATAATCTTCTTGTTCAAAAACCAAACAACTTCAGTGACTTAAAATCAAGAATAACAGGAGACTACTAATAAGTCAGATAGATTCTTCTCATTAGAAACCTCATTATCTGAGTATGACCAAAGGAAAAAAGCCTAAGGAGATTTAATGGCTTTATTAACCATCTACTACTTCCACAAGCTTTCCTTTGAGGGTCTCTATCTCTCCCTGCATGCTCTAATACACACATATTCTTATAAAAAGCTCTTGGACATGCCATTTCTCTATCCACGTATTTCTTACTTTAACATTAAAGACAACTACTCTACTGGCGAAAAAGACTTTTTTGGTAATTCCGGGGATCCAAAGCAAGGCCTCACACATGCTGGGCAAACACTACCACTGAACTCTACTTCAGCTCACTGGAGGTGTAAAAAAAGGAGACAAAAGAATTTAGGGTTGAAAGAAGGTAAGTTTTAAAAAGGCAAACCATGTGAGAATTCCACAATACAGCTTTGGAAGAATGAAACTGAACCGCTAATGCTGGAACTGCACCCTTCAGCTCTGAGGAGGGAGAAACATCACACAGAGTAGTTACCGGTCGTGCCAGGATAATGAGCCCTGGGCTCCAGGGTGGGGGGCTGAGAAATGAGCTATGCTGCCCAGATCAAGGGACAGCCCAAAGGCTTGGCCAAACGGCAAGGATTCTCGTTACTTTAGGTCTTCACTGTAAACACTGTGGTAGAGGATTTGAGGGTTGGGAGCCACTCACTAAACATTTAAGAGAGGGCCAGAGAGGGCCAAAGCGGGCGGGGTGGGTGGGGTGCCCGCAAAATACCCTAAGTAAAACCAAGTGCAATGCTTACTTACTTGAAATTTCAGAAGAGATACTGAAAATACCCTCTTAAGCAAGAGATAATTCCATAAGCAAATAATATTCAGTGACTTTTGTTCTGAGAGCATATGATAAGATAATCTTTGCTTTCAGAAAGTTCACTGTGAGTTGAGAAGACAGACGACTAAAGATAATTATAATACAAGGCAGTTAATAATTGTGGTTAAGGATAGTGTGAAAATATTTAAGAATCCCAAAAACCCAACTTTCAGGAATGAGGGAAAGCCAACTGAAAGAGAAGTAATAAAATTAAAATTAGTATCCAATTATACATATGATTATAATATCTATTATATTTCAATGGAAATAAAAATACATTTTTATAGGATTACTTGTATCCTCTTACCCCAAATCTTTTATTCTCCACCAGGAAATTGTACTCCCCCATTATGCACATATACACATTTTTTCCCATTCAATCAAAATATTTAGCATTACAAGTAAATTTCACACACAATGAATGGAGGGGACCCCAGTGATTGATTGTCTTGCATGTGCTAGGTAAGCACTCTCCCCTTGCCTGAGCTACATCCCTGGCCTTACACAACAAATTTTGACATATGCTTTCAAAGAATTTTAACTTAACCAGGAAAAAGGTACACAAATGGAAACAGTAAAATGAAATATTTAAAATGCTATTAGAGAGACATGAACAACTTGCTCTGAGAGCAAAGAGGGACCAGTAACTCTTAGCAGAGATTCAGCCTTATTCATCTTCGAAGCCACAGGCCCTAACAGTGGGTAACACATACACATAAATATATTGGGAAATGTGTGCTGAATTCAATTAGTGCATTTCCCCAAAGGGTAATGGAGTCAATACCTAGTAGAGTCTTAAAATTAAGCAGGAGTTCACAGGTGATTGTAGCTTAAACAGCACACCCACAGGCGTATGCTGGGAAAGACTTGCAACCTCTGAGTCCGTGGGAAAGGGGGAAAGTTCAGGGGAAGCACTGGTGAAGCTGGTGGGACTATGGCTAGAAGAGACGGTGGAAAGTGACGCTACATACAAGGATGCTGAAGAGTCTTTAAATACAAAGTACACATTTTTGGATTTTTTTTCCCCCTCAAAAGCAACTAGGACTCCAAAATGCTTTTGTTTTGAACAAGGATGTAATACAATTTTTTTTTAAGGCAAATGAGTTTGGCAATGTGAAGCAAGCCCGGTGGCAGGGAGACCTACTGACTAGCTCAGGGTCCACACTGTGCATGGAATCTGACTGGTCCGGTTCTCACAGGCCCTCACCATCAGTCTCTGTAAGTCACCAGTTTGCAGGGTTTTTCCATCAGAGAATCCAGCATGAGGCTGGTGCCTGAGTATCTGCCCAGGAAATATTTAACCTTTTAAGTAATCACTACTCCTCTTAAGCGTCCACCTTCCACTTCCAATGCGCCCAGTTAACCACAAAAGAGAACTTAGCCCAAGGCAGGCAGCAACCCACGCGTCCTTCCCAGTTTGCACTTGTGCCCCCAGGCCTTTATACGGAGCCTATCTGGCTTTCTAAATGGCCAGTCCAGACCCTCTTCCCCCTACCTTCTTTCCTTCCCTTGTATTTCTATCCACCTTCTTTATCTTCCTCTTAACTACAACTGAGGGTGTCATTTCTTTTTCCTTGTTTTTTTTTTCTTTTCAATACCAAGGGATCAAACTCAGGACCTTGCTTTCGAGGCAGGTGCAGTGCCACTGAGCTAAATCCCCAGCCTTTCTATCCACCTTCTTTACCTTAATGGTGTATACACATCTGTAAAATGTATTTGTCAAAGCTTAGGGGAAAAAAAAAAGGCTTACAAATTCACTCATTTGTAGGCCACCGTTCTGAATTTAAGTGGCTGTGTGATTTGGTCGATATCTCAGAGCTAAGCTTTCATTTTAGTATTTTGCTTGAAAATATATTACACGCAGATATCTAATACATTTACACTTCTTATAACCGGTGTGTACAGACTGAGCGTAAATGCCTACTTGAATATATTTACTTTAAAAATTAGTGTTTAATACTTTTCTTGAGCACTTTAAAAGTCAATCTGGTCAATTTTCACAGCAACATAGTGGGGTGAATACAATTGTTTCTTTACGAGGAGTAACAGAATAATCTGATAAGCTGATCTGGAAATTCGGCAAATTTCTACTAAGCACTAGGCTCCAAACTTTTCGGATCCTCTCCTTATCCTGACAAAAGAACCAGTGAGCCACTTACCCAGCCGTTCTCCTCCCACTTATCTCTACAAAAAGGAAACACACACCACACCAGAAAGGGAAGCATTACTACTCCATAATAAAGCCTCAATGAAGCGACTGTAGCCACTGTTTTAGGAGTTCAGTGTTATTTATAAGCGAACAAATAATCAACTACAGTTAAGAGGCGGGAATTCTTCACCTGCTCCTCTCCTAACTGGCAGAAGCTGTAGTAAGACCACCCTAAGGGGTGCTGTGTTCCACAGCAGTGCCAAAGACCACCACTGAGCATCTTGATCCCCTAGAGGGTTTTCACAGACTGGCCAGCCTGGCTTCCTCTTTCCCTCCAGAATTACTTTCTAAACTCCAAATGCCAGCGCGGTCATCAGAGAGCAGGATAAAGGGTCCAGAAGAAAAGAAACTTGGGGGGGGGGGGGGGCGCCGAGCAAAGAATTATTAAATATCAGGGTTTCACGGAGAAGGGGGCTAAGATTCAGACCTGAAGGGCTGCCAAGGAAGCCCCCGACCTATCGTACGTTTGATCACGGAAGATTCTGGGATATGGATCTTCAACAAGGGTTACATTCTGCTCAGTAGTGGTCTTCTAAACAACGCCAAATTTGCGAAAGTTAACGATTAAAGACAATGCTTTTTTTTAAACAGACTTAAAAAAAATTACCTTTCCATACTGCCCCCCCGATCTAAAGATTTAAGGCTCCTCGAGCAAAACTAAAATTTTAAAAACCATCACTGAAGGGTGTTCTGTCATGTTTTGAGGTTTAAAAACACAAGCATTATTTCTTAAGGCCTGAAAAGTTCTCCAAAAACCAATGAAACGGACTTCCCCTTCTGTCAAAGACTAAACCGCGAGATTTAATGACACTAAACGCTGCACAACGCTTAAAAATAGAACAAACAGAACTATGGGAAGAACAGTTCCGGACGTAGACTGAGTTACGGAACCGAGCGCGGCCGACGTTGCAAAGACGGATGGATCTGCCCAGAGCCCGGGCCAGAGCGCCCCGGTGCCGACAGGTCCGGCCGTCCGCGCCGGCCCCATCGCCAGGACGTGTGCCGGGGGCTCTCGTGGGAACCGCGGCGGGCCCGGGGCGCGGGTGGCGCGGCCGGGAGGCCCGGGCTTCCCCGGCGAGAAGCGGGCCGGGCCGCCGGGCCCCGCGCCAGCCCCGCCGCTTTGTCTGCGCGGCCCGACCCCGCCTCCCGCCGGCCCCCGCCTCACCTGCATCCCCGGGGCCCCAGGGTCGACGCCGGTGTCCAGGACGGCGATGAGCACCCCGCGTCCGTCATACTCCGGGTAGCGGCAGAGGAACGAAGCGGCCCCGGTCTCTTTCTTGGGCAGCAGGCCGTGGAAAGGGAAGGGCTCCTCGGTGGCGGCGGTGGCCATGGGCGCGGGTCGGAGGACGGGCGACGAAGAAGCGAACCGCCAGGTGCGCGCGGACGGGCGGCGCCAGGACACCCGGCGGCCGCGGGCCGGAGGCGGGGAGGGGGTGGGGCCTGCATCCGCTGGCCAATCCCTGCCCGACAGAGCGAGGCAGCCAATCACGCGCTGTGCGTCACTAATGGCGCCGCTCCCGGGAGCTGAGCCCCGCGGCTGCGGCGGCTGCAGTGGAGGAGGCGGAGCCTGCGCTGGGCTGCGGAGGCCGAGCTTCCGCGAGCCGGGTTGTGAGCGGCGCCACGCTTGCGGGTCTCCTTAGCGGACGGCCGGCCTGCGAGCAGGGGCTTCTGTCGTCCAGGCCGATACGCGCGAGAGACCGGGAGAGAAGCGGGCCGCGAGCCGGGTAGCGGCAGCCCTCGGCCCGGCGGGGGACGCTGTCCGAGCTCGAGGTTGCGGGGGAAGCGAGCGGACGCGGGGCTGGGCCGGGCCGGTGCGGAGCGGACCCCGGGGCCTCGCTGTTGGCGAGATCCGAGAGGGGCCCCTGCTGTCTTCGCTGCTTCCCCTTGGCATCCGGGATTTCCGAGGAGCAGTTTTTACTTTTTTTTTTTTTTTGGTACGGGGGATTGAACTCCGGTCCTTGCGCTTGCACAGCAGGCGGCCAAACCACAGAGCTAAATCCCCGGCCCCCGAGGAGCAGTTTTTATAAACTGACGTCCCTCGTTGCCCCTTAGGGCTGTGCACTCAATCGAGCCACAAGGTGCAGGTTTTCAGATTTGGATTCGCAGTACCGGCCCAGGGCCCTTGATTCGTGTGCCTGTCGTTCCAGGGTAATTAATCTTCGCTTGAGTGTGGTTGCCACGAACCCCTTTGGCAGTCCGCTAAGGCAGTGGCGTTTAAACGCAGCGTTCAGAGCGGCATTTTTTTAAACGAGTAGAATGAAATCTGTAGAATTACAAAGGAAATTTTGCTGAAGTAGTTAAATCAAAAATATTAAAACCAGTTTTGTTATATTGCGTTAGCTGTGTATATGTGTATATGTGTGCTGCCTTTTGCATTAAAGGAACTAGTGCCAAGTCTAATAAACTACCATAATTTCAAAATAGTGAAGTGAGCATAAATGATGTTTTCAGATGTGTGTAACAACTGCACGGATAAACTGATTTTTACTGGTGACAGCGTAACATTGCTAATACTACCACGGTTAATGCCTACATCTGTAATTAAGGGGAACATTTAAATCGAAAGGTTGATGAAAATAAAGATGTAATTTTTTCCAACACAGGTTTTTCAACCACTTGGTTTCTATCCATGGACTCCAAGTTAAGAATGTCTGGTAAAGAATCTCTGTATATGTCAGTTTTCAAAGCACAAGATTTGGAAGATCCAGGATTTTCAAACACTACTCTAATGGCCATGCAGTGGTTTTTCTGCTGCTTCCTTGACCATTTCTTTATTTCACAAGGTCACAGATGCATGTTCTCTATAGTGGAGAGGAAAAGTAGAAATGTTAATGTTTTCCTTCTTATTCCCAGCTGCACTTACATTGCCCCAGAAGAGAACTTTAAATTACTTGTACAGGAAGAAGAGAATGATGAACTCAGAAGACATTCAGTACAGAGCCTATAATGACAGACTGGTATTTTCAAATGAACCATCTTCCAGTTCTTTCATTTTATACCAGAGGAAACAAATAGATGAACTGACTGCTACTGGTAGTGGAACAGGTTATTGAGGAAGGCCTAGATCCCCGTTTTCCTGGTCTGTCTCCAGTTTTTTTCTGATGATTCCCCACCCAATGACTAGATAGGAAATGAGCTGCTCAAGATGAAACTTAGTGGCAGCATTTTTACTAGACTCCTGTAACAGTATTCTTTAGATTAATACATTTTGCTTCATAGAACTAAAGGTTTTAGAAAATTATGTATCTCTTTGTACAGTTGTAAGATGACACCTAAATTTGTCATCTTAAATTTAGGACATTATGAAGGACAAAAATTTGGGCATATTATAAATATCAGCATTCTTTAATGAAACATCATCCATTTAATTATATTCACTTGAATGTAACTTTGATACCTACTATCATTTATGAAATACCTGAAAATTTTTTTAAAAGACAATTTACGTCACTTTCTTCTTTCATTTCCATTGTACACCGAATATGATTCTAATATGATCTACATATTGGTCACTTAACCATTTTTTGCAACAAAAGTATGTCTACTAATGTTTTAAGTTTTAAAATTTCCTGGGATCAATTCTTTTGGAATGTTACCTTTCCATTACAAAGCAGAAAAAAATGACATGAATGAATCTTAAACTTTGATTAAAAAGTACAGAATATGGACTGGGGATATAGCTCAGTGGTAGAGCACTTGCCTAGGGTGTGGAAGGTCCTGTGTTCAATCCCAGCACGGCAAAATAAATTAATAAATGTATGTAGATATATAGATTTATGGAGAAAGAATAAGAAAGTTGTATTGAAAATGCAACTTTAAAAAGATGCCTGGTATGTCATATTTCCACTAATGACAGGACTGCTGTAGTCACCACGAGACAGTTTCCAAGTCTACTTTGTAAAACCGTCAGATGACAACCTTTTAGGGAGCAAAACTAGCATATAGAAGTGTTCTGTAACTTGCCTCCTCAAAGGTGACGTGCTCAAGATTCAGAAGCACAGCCACTCACTCCTATTTTATGAACTACTCACGACGAATGTCATCCTTTGCCTAAATTGGAGAAAAGGTGGATTTAATGAGACAAATGAGAAATTTAACCTAATAGTAAAGACTCAGACTAAAATATTATATATGTATTCATGTGTGTGTGCGTGCACACACACGCACAGACTGTACTTTAAAAATCTCTGTACCCTGCAATAGACAGCACAGCTTCCCTACTGTGTTTATCCACTCTCGGGACAGCCTGGTAAGTTGGCCATGGGGCCTCTAGGGTAGATTGCTACAGACTGTGAGAAACGTCACCCATTTTGTTCGGTGTGCCATGCAAATATTCTCATTTTCTACAGATACAATGATGTAGGAAAGATTGGGAAACCCTAATCCCAGGGAAATCCATTTTTGGAAAAATCCAAATAAAGGCTAGTGGTAATAGATTTTTAGTATATGCCAGAGAACATGAGATCCCCACTTAATCATGGCTTGGTTTCCCAGACAATCCTTACTCAGGTTGCGGTGGTTTCAGTTACCTACAGTCAACTGCCGTCCAAAAATACTAAAAAGAAGAGTAGAAATGAACAATTCACAGGTTTCCAATTGCATGCCATTCTGAGGAAACCTTACAAAATTTCTTCATCCTGGTCCATCCGCCTGAGCTATGAATCATCCCTTTGTCCAGTGTCTCCACACTGTATACTCAGCCTCCCCGTTAGTCACTTAGTAGCAGTCTCAGTTATCAACCTAGTATTATCTTTATTTTCAGGCACCTAGTAAGGGTCTTGGAATGTACCTTCCGCAGATAAGAGGGGACCACTGTAACTATAAACTAGTATTTAGGAGTTGAGGTGTATCATAGCTGATAACTTTCTCTGACCTGAGACACTTTACTAATAGGAAATCATAGAGCTGTACAGAATAATTAGGAAAGCTGGGAGAAAATTATTAAAAATTAAGATTGTGAAGTCCATAGATTGATAAGGCAGTGGTAGATGGCCCTCTGTGTCCAGCCCTGTGTAGATGTTGGTGTTCAGGAGCCGTGGAGAACTGGCTTGGAGAGTCTAGAAATCTGAAGTTCCTGGCTCTGCTTGGCTTATGATTTTGGACAAAAGAATTCTTCTTGGCCTCAGTTTCCTTGTTTATATGGAAAGAAGCTAATGGAGAGCCTTCTATTTTAGTGTTGAACATTTTATTGTCTTAAAAGCTTTACATTTGTAATTCATTGAGATACAGGCGTACCGTACTGAACCAAGCAGTTACTCTTTACTGCTTATCTACTGCCTTGGAGATTGTGGCACTTTGCTATTTTCTGTTAAGCACTTCATGATTTTATAGTCTTGATCTTGGACTGGTAAAATTGTGCATCATCTTCTTCCTGGAGGATGCTGAGAGCAGAGTGGCAAAACTGATGATTCTCATCAAGTGATAGAGCCTCAGTTCTATTGATCCTGCCAAGTTCTTCAATCAGAAGACACAGGCTGTCCCCAGACAGTTTCTGTGCAATCTGGAGGACATAAGAGATGACGCTGAAGATGATCTGAACAATTTTAACATGGGGACTGTGAGCAGAATCACCGTTGGCTCCAGAATGGGACAAGCTACAGCCGTTGGTTCACATTGGACCTACTGAGAAGTGGTGACGTGTTGAATCTCAAGTACTGTATTTGGTGGAGATAAGCCTCAGTCAGCAGTGAAAATTGTACTTCACTTCTCCCATCTGTGGGGCCAGAGCTGCAATCTGTCCCATCCCCTGATAACTGACCAGCTCTACTGGAACCAGAGGTTCACCTCTCGTCGAAGCTGGGCAGAACAGTAAATCTGTTGGCATCCAAAAGATATCGGAGCCTGTATATTTAAACACGTGAGAAAAGTGTGTGGCCAGTGTGCTCGGTTATTTGTAGGGTGGACAGTGTGTCCTGGGAAAAGCAGGAGAAGGGCTTAGGCAGCAGACTCCCCTCACTTGCAGTATAGAGGAGAGCTCTTTTGGGCACAAGGTCCAATGCTATGGTCCTCTAAGGCCTTGGCCAGCTGCAAGATGAACTGCTTCAAAGCCTCTGGGACAGTCAAGATAGTCAAAGCTAGGATAGGACAGCATATAAGCCCAAGTTTCAGTCACATAAAGCACATTCCTCACTCATGCTTCATTTCCAATTTCAGATCAGCAGGGGCTTCAATCTGGATCCGGGTGAAGAAGCAGGCACTAACTGTGGCAGGGGACTGCGATAGGGCAAATCAGGAGGTAAGGACACATGCACTAGCTCTCCAAGCTTCCACCATCTCTGTTCACTTTTCATTGACCTAAACCAGTCCTAAAACCAAGCTCAAGTTCAAGGGGGCAGAACAATGCAGTTTTATTATATGCCCAAAAGAATAGTCCTGACTCACTTGGGCTGCTATAAAAATATCATAAACTGGATGGCTTCGAAGTAGCCAAATTTAGTTTCTTCAAGCTGAGAGGTCCAAGTTGCAGGAAAACTCTGCCTGGTGAGGGTCCACTTTCTGGATCACAGATGGACGTCTTGTCCGTGTCCTGACATGAGGCAGTGGCCAGGGCTCTGACTCGTGACTTAATTACCTCCTACCTTTCAGTACCATTTCTTTGGAAGATTATGTTTCAACATAAGAATTCGGGGTGGGAACAAATATGCAACCTAAAGCAGGAACAATAAGCAGGATATTTAAATTGTCCTGATTACTGCTACACCCTCACTGTATTTACTTTAGTGAAGCTTTAGTAATATAGCTACAACAGGAAGTATGCCTCCCTGCATAGTCAGTATCCTTGTATGAACTGCTAGGCAAACAGTGAGAAGGAGTTGGCCACCTAGGACAACAGTATAGCAAATGCTTGTCCTACAGGACACCTGAGAGCCTGGTGTTTTGAAGTTCATGCTATCTGGCACATAAGTGCTCTGTGAATAGTATGTAGTTGAGCTACAGACCTGGGTAAAAATTTCTGTTCTCTAATACCCAATTATTTCTCACACTGCTTCTTACTTGGAATAAGTTCTCCAAGTTTTGTGCCTTAGCTGAACATTTACTGTTCAAACAATTTGGTTATCACTTATTGCATAGTCTCTCTAGCTCTGTTACTTTGGTGTTCTAAGTGAAAAAAGAAACACATTAGAAGAATAGAATAGTGGTCGTTCATGGTATCATAGGAAGATACAGACGCCAAAAAACATACCTTGAAGAATGTAGAAGATTTTAGGCCTCCTCAAATTGTGTGTCCTTCTAGAAATATGTTGGGCATACAAAACCCTAAGTAGTATACATGGATAGACACATTATTACCTCTTCCTTTTTTACACAAGTGGCAGTATAGTGTATATTCTCTCTGTCCTGCACTTTTTTTACTTTGCAGTACTTAGTGATGAATGTTACTACATGTAATTATTATTCTTTGTTAGTAATCATGCATACTTTTAATTTGTTTGGACATGTTATTGTTTGTTTAACCCTGTGGGTTTGTTTTCAAGTGTCTTGTGAAACTGACAATGGGTGCTTTCTCGAAAGTTCATTTGTTCCCAAAATACAAATCTTTCAGGCGATAAAAATCTTCACTTGCTTTAGTTCTGAGAGTCAGATTACCATATATGGCTTGTGTATGTTCCGTTACCATCTTTAGAAGAATCTAACCTTATAGTCTGTGCCGAATGGGCAGGAAGACCATATCCCACCTGTGTTTGGTAAGAGGCAATTGGTCAGGAGTAGATTCCTGGCCTCGGGTAGACAGAGACACAGGTATGTAGTGTGCAGTGGAGGCTTAGTGTGAGGCTCGTGAGAGCCAGATTCCCAGGGCCCGGTGGGGCCCTAGGACCACTGCTGCACCAGCATGTCTCCAGCTCTGCTTTGAGATAGCCCAGAGGCACAGAACCTCTGCTTTGAATTGATGTGTAATTCCATTGCATACTTCCATTAAGCACTCTTACTTGACTTTCTTGGGACTTTTCTCTGATTTAAAAGAGCTTTACCAGAGCAGAGCAGACTGAATGTGTTAGCTTGCTTTCATGACTAGAACAAATACCTGAGCTGGTCAACCTAGAAAGGAAAAAGTTTATCTTGGCTCTTGGCTTCAGGGGTTTCTGTGTTGCTCTTTGGGCCTGTGGCAGCACATCATGGCAGGAAGGCTTGGATGTGAAAGGACAGGGCTGGGGTCCCACGGTCCCCCCTTCAAGGGGATCTCTCTGTCACCTAAAGACCTCTTACTACCCACCCCCCACCTGCAGGTTACACCACATTCCAGTAGTGCCACCCTGGGGACCAATCTTACCAAACGGTTCTTTGGAGGACACTTGGATCACAAGTTCAAAACCAGCCTGAGCAATTTGGTAACATAGTGAGACCCTGTCTCAAAATTTAAAAAAAAAAATTAAGAAGAGATGGGGATGTAGCTCAGTGTGAAGCTGAGTTCAATCCCTGGTACCACACATGCATGTGTACACACACACATCCCGTCACTCTAACTTTCAGCATTGTCCTTGTTTTGTTTCATCCTAATTCCTGATATATATTGGCAGCAGAAATACTCCCATTGAGTTTTCTGACAGTAAGTCACCACGATGATGATAGCAGGCATGAAACAGGGCAGGGAAGGAATTACTCCTGCCCTCCATCGAGTCAGGCCAGGAAGCACCCTAGAGGTCATTGGGTCCCGCTGTGGATTCAGGCTTGGACATGCCAACCCGGAACTGTTGTCATATGGATCATTTGCATGGGATTGCATAAGTGCCCACCATCTGTCAACACTCGGGTTGCCAGAAAAACATGTTCGATATGAGATTTCAATGAAAGCCTAATCTACATGGTCATCCCAAGCATCCCGGATTGAGCAAAAGAGTGGGAAGTAAAACAGCATAATAGTTAAAGGATCTTGTCTTCCGTGTCTAGTTCTTTCACCAGTTAGCTACGTGACCCTCAACGAGGCCTCCGTTTCCTTGACTGTCCCTCTGAGGGTTTTACAAGTTACACAAGAAAAAGCATTTTTCAAAGTGGCAAAATATACTTTTCATTACTGTAATGTGGCTGGTATGGGGCAGGGACGGAAAACAGTGCAGTCGTGTTTAGCATTCCATTACAAGTTAAGACTCAGATGAATCTGGCAAGCTGATCATTTTCTAAAACAACTGAAACTTGCTAGAAATGTGTTTAAAAGATCAATTTAGGCGTATAGGACAGGTACCTAACAACCTCGTTCTCATGAGGTAAATCAAGCAACTTATAATTTGTGGACAAACAAGTTTTTACTGTTTGTGCAATTAAATTTGTTTTGTCAAAACATCTTGGATCTTACAAAACTATTTCTCTTGCCTTTAATTAAAGAATGACGTGTGGAGAACTGGTTGTGAAAGTTCTTTGCATGTGCACACGTGAACAGATGTGGCAGCATTTTGAGGTACCAGACTGAGAATTCTCTAGTCTTCTGAAACAGATTACCAGTATTTGTTTAGAACAAACCAATTATTTAAGGTTCATAAACAGGTGTTTTTGGGAAAAATAGAAAAAATCACAAGGTAAGAATGAAAAGGATGTTTTCAAAAATAGTCTTTGTTTATTGAGTTTCTCAAAGGTTTTATATACTATTTATTAATTTAAAACAAAAACTTTAACAAAAATTATATATGTACCTGCATGTGAATATATATGAAAAGTACTTATACCCCACACATTAAAATCAGAGGGCTGTTATCAGTTGGATTCTGAGAAAAATATTGTCTCCAAACTTGTACAAAGATCTGAATTGTGTGGTTCTGTTGGTAAAAGTGTGGTGTGTTCTACACAGACCTATTGAAACCAATAGGAATCCAGTGTCTGAGAAAATCCACAGTAATCTGTATATTAAACAAAGATCCCAGGAGATTCTTCTCACCTAAGAGCTTTGGAAAACACTGAGCTCAACAGCACTCACCTGCTGCATTCAGCCCTGACAGTTCTGAGGTACAGAGTTAAAACTGCAAAGCGTAAGGTTTTTTGATCCCATTGGGTCATGTGCCAGTTATCAAAACTCCAGTTTTAAAATGTGCCCTTGCTTATGAGCTCCTTCCATGCTCTTCGGTGAAGGTGACAGAAATAAGCAAAGCAGTGACTACTAGGCGTGCAGATTATGAATGCAATAAGAAATGAAGGCTCAGTCCATCCAGATTTGCTCTACAGAACAAACTTTGGGTTATAGTATATACAATACAGAAATGTTAAGTAGGGTTTCATGCATTTTCATTTAGAGAAGTGTAATAGTACTTACTGGAGCTAGATACAGTTCACACAGAGAAGGGATGATGGAGTCCAGCTTTGAAGACAGGGAGGTACATGCTTTGGCAGGGGGCAGTGAGGGGTGACATCTGGGAAAGGAGTGGCTTTTATATGGCGCTGGTTGTAGGACTAGAGGCGGGGGAGGGCACGCTTGCTTGACTTCTTAAGAGTTTACCACAAGAGAATGTGTCGCTGTGGCCACCATTCTACTCCTCCATCAGGGAGTCCAGTTGTTCACAGAAAATGCTTTACTCTAAAGACACCGCACATAAAGCACCAAGATGGGACTGGGTATGCAGTCAGTACTTGGTAAATTGTTTCTATTAACAACAAAACAAGAATCGGAACCCGGGCCCTTGGTTCTCTCTGTTGTCACTCCACTGCGGGGCTCGATAAACATCTCCTTTTGAAATGTCAGATTGCACAACAAGTATTTACTGGCCATTTACTGCATGCTGTGATTGGACAGGCATAGGACGAAAAAAGAGAGTCTGCTTCCTATAGAAACTCAGTTCATGTTCAGTGTGGTGCCCTGTGAGCAACCTGGGGATGACAACAAACACACTACTTAGCCAGGCTCAGCAGTTTGCTTTCTGCTGTCTTGGCCACAGGTCCTAATCGAAGTGGCTTAGGTCCCAGTTGAAGCCACCCTTCTGCAACCTTCAGAGGTTCCTAAGGGCTGGTTTGCTCCTCCACATTTCTAGTCGAGAAACTCCTGAAATTGTCTATTCCATAGGCACATTAGTCTAAACTAGGTTCTATCCTCTTTATTCCTTCCTCATTCTCTGATTTTATTTGGCCCTCTCGTAAGTAGTATTTGTTCACCCACAAGTAGCAGCAGCAGCAAGAACAACAACAACAACAAAATACAAAGAATTATATAGAAAAACAATATGATTTACTGGAACAACCTGATCTCAGACTAAAAGTCTTGTTTATTGGCTGTAGTGCGTTGGTTAAATTTACCTTATTCATTTGTAAAAAAGTGAT